ATGCACCTCTACACCTCTATAAATATGCATATTCAATATCTGGTGTTATCATCTCCATTTAAGATCGTTTTTCAATACTTAAAGGTAAATAATTGTTAATATTATGTATCTATTACATGTGTTCTTGCATTGAAATTGTATATAAGGACCAAATTTTTAAACACCAAATCTGAAAATGCATTTCCGAAAAAGTCAATTCGAAAATAATAAGATGTGTAGTCTAATTTTCATTACGGTCAAGATTAGAGGAGGTGATTTTCAACTCACAGATCATGTTCGCCCAACTACTTTTATTAGGCGTAGGGCTCGTGGGGAATCAAGTGTTGTTAATGAGTACATACATAATGCGGAGGAGAATGTTGTAGATGAATAATATGAAAATCATCCAACAAATGATCAATATTTTCTAGGAAGGCTATAAATACTTCTTTATTATCAAGTATGAAGATCATGTGACCATAGTATGTGGGAGGGAGTGATAAGAGTCTTTCAGTTCATATAAGTTCGTGTTTATAAAAATTAATGTTATAAATTTTAAACATAATTTTTGTTAGCATCATGGCGAGTTAAAATGTGTTTTTTCATGATAGGAAAATGAATAAGTCAGAGGTTCCACACATGCAGATTGCGACTGCAATTCAGTTATTTTGGTTGGAAGCACTTGCGAATGTTAATTATGACACAATAAATATTATCTGTCTTTGCTGAGAAATAACATAGTGAGACTAACAACTTCCGTCTACCCATAAGTGCGATGATCATCACACTAGATGATGTATTATCATTATCGCACATGTCAATTGTTGGTCAATTCTATGATTATATTTGTTTGGAAGCACACAAAGGTGTTGATATGCTGACAAAGCTCTTAGGAGTTGATTTTGCAATGACTTCTATAAAGATGAGATAATGTAAAAATGGACATATCTGTCTTAGTTGGTTGCGATAAGTGTATGATGATACTTATACACACAGACGATAAAAAATTGCAACTCAAGCATATTTGATGCATCTTGTGAGTGGTAATATTTTTTGCTGACAAAAGTGAGACTTCCATTAATGTATCATATTTTGGTCTATTTCGAGATCTTACAACTTGTGATGGATATTCTTAAGGAGCAGTTGCACTCACTCATATGTATGAACAATTTGATAATGTATTGTATGTTAATACAAAATAATTAGTTAGATATGCGGCTTTATTTAATGTATAGTATTATAATTTGATTCCTTTAATATGTTAGCTTAACATGGAATAATCTTTTATTGATTTTTTGAATTAAATAGACCTAAGTATATGATTATATTCTTCAACAATTCTTTAACAATATGACTTAATGCATACTTTGAGACAAAACCTTGCAAATTTTTACACCTAGTGGTATTAAACATATGACCCACCACATGAAGATTATTTTGAAATGAAGTTTTAATGTCATTATATTGTAATATTATCATATTATCCATTGAATTCCAATAATAACATAAGTCTCCTACACTACTTTGTAGCATTCTTTTTAGGGTCTAATGTACAATTTCAACTTTACATATGAATTTATAATTAGTAAAATATATTAAATATACTTTGACTTGTAGTCTTTCCTAAGTGCATAACTTTATCAGTTAATGCCTTAACAAAAATTTTATTTTGTGGAATTTACCACGGTGAACAAATAACTTCAAAGGTTGTAATGCAATGTTGAATCATCTACTTTATTACAATCCATAACATTTCTATAAGTATCCATCACTTGGTCCCATGCATTTACTAGATGCATTAACATTATTTATTTTGCTTTAACATTTTATACTATATGAAAGCGACATAAAAAATTGATTGTATGATAAAACACAATTACAATTGCATTCATTAACGTCAAACCACTGTCACAAACCAATACTTAAGGGAGCAAATCAATTCTTAAAACACAATCATCTAAGTCTTTTAAGAGTCCAAACAAAGTTCTTTTCATGTTTAACACCTAATAATACAAAAATAACATAATTCCTGTGTATGTTACACTAATAATATCATGTAAGGACAACATATACTTATTAGTTTCATAAGTATTATTCATTATCAATACTAAGTTAAATGTATTCAATAATTTGATAAAATCAAGGTGTGTTAACAAAATATTTGTAATCTCATCAAACAAATGCTAATGAAAATACTTGTCATGATTCAATAACTTCATTAGTTGTTGCATTCAGTTTTATGACCTCTTACACTTTTTCGATATATGTATTTTGCATTATACATTTGTTTTATACTCATAACATTCTTTTCATCGTTATCTTTCAAGGTGAGTAGAATATTTTTAGGTTTCACCAAATTCTTTGTCATATTGACTAACATAAACTTTTTATTATTTATTAATCTACTAGGATATGGATGACTTACTAATCTATCAACTAAATAATGATTATGACTTCCACAAACTAACTTCAGACTTCATTCTTTACCATTTCTTATAGGTTTTCCTCGTAGTTTAAAGAGACATTCACAATTTCTACTTCCTGTAACGGTTTGATTACAAATCTTTTTTAGATTTCCTAGATTTACCACCTTCTTCACAATCTAACAATATATATGTCTTCCTTCTTTGATAATCATTTGTTTATCCGACCTTAGTATAACAACTACAAATCTAAAGCTAAACGCAACCTCTCGAACCTATTTCAGCAAATCATCCCATGTAGCAAATATCTATAATAATAAATATGATATCATTACATATGAAAATTATAAGTTATGACATTAATATATAACTAAATTTTTATCTCATTCATTATAAATACGTCAATACAATCAACTAAATTATCATGCATGTGTTTCATTATATTATCTAAACTCATTAACATCTCAACTTCATCTGTCATATTATTATTTACAAAAATTTTCTCCATTGCATCCGTAAATAAGAAGTTCAAAAATTATAAATTCAATAGTGCATTATTTTCATAACACAACTACGGGGTGAGGGATACAAAATATAATTTTCAGATTTGATTTTCTAGAAACACATTCTAGAAAGGTGAATCTTGAACAAGATTTCGAGAATAGTTTTTACGGAAACACGTTTCAGAAAAGTGGATTCATAATATATTTTTGGAATTAATTTTCTGAAAATATATTCCAGATTGGTGGGTCCGGAATTCACTTAAAGGTTAAAGATTCCAAAAGTGTATTATAGACCAACAATCTGAAATGTGTTTCATTAAAATCAATTTTATAAATGTATTTAAATCTACCTTTTCGATTTGTATTTCTAGAAAATATGTTTTAGAAATGTATTCCCAATCCCCATTCTAAAATGAGTTTCTAGTCAAAAATATTGTTTCACAATATATTTTATGTGATAAAAAATTGATATAAATTTAAAATAGTTTGAAATTCTTACATGTTTCTTGCAATTCTTACAATAATAGAAAAAAAAATATTTTGGTTTAAAAATCAGGCATTTAAAAAAAACACTTAAAAAAAAGAAAAATATAAAAGTAAAATAAGATTTATTTTAATTACGAAATCCAATAAAAAAACTTAAAAATAAAAACTACCAAACCTAATCATTGATGTCTTTGTGTATATTTTTAGTCCAAAATAACAGAGCTTAATTATAAATTATTAATAAAAAAAAAGACAAAATTAAGAAATAAGTCATGGCTAGGGATGGCAATTAAACCCGTACCGTGGGGACCGACCCGTCCCGCCCCGAGTTTGACGGGAAACCCCGAGTTGACCGGGCGGGGTCGGGTTCGGGTTTTCCCGCTTTAAAAAGTCGAGGCGGGCGGGGATGGGTAATGCAATCCCCACCCCGACCCCGCCCCATCCCCGCCCGACTTTATATTTAAATTTAAATTTTAAAATATTAATATTTTAAAAGTATTTCATTTTCTTTTTCTATTACATATAAGGTTATTTTTTTATATTTCACCAATTTTTATTTTTCTTCTACCCACTTTTTAATTTTTTTATCTTTCTCAATCTTTTATATCAATTAATTTATTATATTATTCTCTCCCTTATCTTTCGAGTTTTTCACATTTTCTTAGTCTCTCCCATCAATTTGTTTTTTTTTTCAATCTTTTCAACCAATTTGATGAACACAAAGTTAATCTTTTTCTTTATCTTTTTCTAAATATTTTACATCAATCTTAGTAGTAACTAATATTAGTTTATTTATAATTTATATTTATTATGCCATATTTTTTTATCTTATTATGCTTATTTATCATATATCAAATTTTATCTTAATAAAATAATTACATTTTAAAGGATTAAAAGAAATTAATAATTTAAACTTTTATTACTTCAAACTAATTAAATAAGAATTAACTTATTAAATATTTTCTTATAAACTATATATTGACAACTTAAAAATGAATTAACTTATATGTATAATTAAATATTTGAATACAAGTATTATAATAATAATGTTATAAATATTCAAATATTTGAATACAGTGTTATAATAATAATAATAATAATGTTATAAATATTATATATATATATATATATAAATAAAAAATAATTAAATATTTCTTTTACATATATATTTTAATATAAATATAATAAATTAAAATGTATATTTAATTAATAATAACTATAAATTATAAATATTTATTTATATATAAAAATACATAGTAAAATTAATTTATTATAAATATAATTATCTTTTTAAAAATAATATAAATTGGGGACGGGCGAGGCGGAAGCCGAACCCAGCGGGGACGAGGATGGGGACTTAATTCTAACCCGCGAGGATCGGAGGCGGGGACGGAGATGGTTAAAAAAGTCGGGCGGGGACGGGAGAGGCAAAACCCGCCCGCCCGCCCGTTGCCATGCCTAGTCATGGCCTCACAGTGATCATTTCCTAAATTTGACCACTTGGACCATCTTGAATGTTTCTCCTTCTAAATGCGGCTATGATAAGAATTTATTGACTTCTTGATTGCTTTTCTCTGCACTTGTACTTGTCTTTGCTTTTGACCGTGTCATGGTTCCCAGGTCCGTTAGAATGCATCTTCAAGCTTTTGATTTAATACGATACTAATAGTAATAATAGTTACTTTTCAGTTTGTGAAAAATAATAATTGTTATTTGTCAAACTAAAAATCAAATTAATAGTATTGTTGGACACCCAATGGATAATCGAAGAAAAAATTGGATTTTTTTTTTATGATGGATCCCTGGTTACATGACGTCATACAAAATCAATATAATTGGTGCAATTCAATTAAAATAATTTGGAAACCTCCGAAAACATACTTAAAAAAATAAACGGCATAATTTCTAATGCGATTAAAAGAGAGAGGATATAAGGATTTTAGAGAAATTATTCTTTGGTGTACTTAAGATTTAGGTTTAGGGTTTTCGAATGTTACTTATTTGAGAGTAGGAGTTTAAGGTAATTATTTACGTATTTTTTTAAAAATAAAATCGTGATAATAGAATTTTAAAATAAAAAAATATTATAATAATGAATTTTAACGATATAATATACGAAGTATTATTTGTTTATAAAATATTTTTTTATACAAATATATTTTTTTAATTATTATTAAATTACTTAATAATAATACATATAATTATAAAGAAAAATAAAAAATAAGTTTATTAAAATAATAAAATATCATATATTAAAGTTCAAATAAAAAAGAATATAATATTCATAAAAATAAAATACCACCTTTGACTTAATTTTGGTATTTTCATTACTTTGCTAATTTTAGTCTTTTAGTTTTAAAGTAATAATTATTTTGTTTTAGGAAAAGTTAATAAAAAATATTTTTGCTAAGAAGAACGTAAGTTTGATTTTGGGCTGGAATAGAATTTATCATCAGTAGGACGAGTGCCACTAAAAATCAACATCGCCAGTGTGAAAATTAAGAAACAGAGTCTTTGTGTTTTTCTCTCTGATTTTCTCTTCTCTGTTTTTGCTTATGTTCTCTGATTTCTGACTTAGTTATTTCTTGTCTTTATATTCTTGGTCTATTCGCAACATGACTCTCGTCCTGTCATATATTATAATCCATTATTTTATTCATTGTCAAAGCAGATGTATAAGTACGAAACAAGGAATAAGAAAGAAAGAGCAAATAGAAAAAGAGACGGTTACATGTCCCTTTCATGGTTTAACCCCCCGCTTTAGATCTTTGTTGTCCCTCCTTACTGTTGATAGCTTCTTTGACCTTCATTCATTTTCCATTTCCTAACTATTTATGGATTCACACGTTCCTTCCAACCCTGCAATACTGCTACCTCTCATAAACTAACAACGCTTTGGCGACCTTTCTCTGTGTAAGAGTAAGAAAACCTTAGCTTTTCAATCTTTTTACACCCCCATCAGTTGGAAAATTCAGGGTAGGATTTTGGGTCTCACAGTGATTCAAACCATCCTGTTAATTCTTTTGCCCCTGCAGTGTATTCAAGCTTCCAACTTGCTTCGTTGTTTTCCAAGTTAGTTGGCTGGAGTGTCTTGTTTTCATCCTTGGAGGTGGTTGGTGTGTGTGGTAAATTTGAAGGACAAATGTTGTTAGAAGGTTTAATGGGGGCTTAGGAGACTGGAGCTGGGGCCATAGCTATGTTTTCTAATTGGTTTGGTGCTTTGAATTGGTGTGGAAGAAGTGATGATCCTGCGGACCAGCCGCATGAACAAGGTACTAAAAAAGGATATAGCTTTGAATTGCAGCATGGATCAATTGTTTGTGTCGAATTGAATAGGTTGTTGACGTAGTGATTGTCATGATTCATACCTGTTGGTTCGTCATTCTATCTCTTGTACATCTCTATATTTTTTCCTGCTGAAAGCTAGATACGCGTGTTACGAAGGTTGCAATTGCCTATTTATTGGTAGGAACGAAGGGATGATTGCTTAATGAAGAGAGAATCTTGGTTGATGATGTTTTGAATTATTTTATTATTGTGCTTGATAATAGTGTGGAATTAAAAAAAATAAGATTTAGGATATGTTATTTGGTGGCATAATTATTGATACAGTTCTTTTCTTTTAATACTCACAATTAGTAGATAGATTCCATGTTTATAATGCCAGGATCTATCTATTGCTGAAAATAATTAATTGCAGGTCAACTCTGAGGTCTACCAGAAGAATTATCATTTATCTCTCTTAAACCACCTTAGTATCCCCAAGTCCTAACTTAATGAGATGTATATTTTTTAAACCCCTGATATCCTATTTAAAATGGTTAATATTAATATTGAAATTCTACTACTGAAGATGCTAGCGGAGGCTCTTGGCCATCGTGTGGTTACATTCTGTTTTGGTTATGTACCTATATTGCGAATCGTATAAGCAAAAGATGCATATATCTCTATTTCAGGTGAAACTTGTCCAGATCTAGTGAGACAACTTGACTGGACATATTTTCTCAAAATTGAATTCTTGATTTCTTTGTACTGTCTCTTTGAAAATTTTGAATCCTGTGATTTATTTAAGTTTATGTTTGTGATCGGACAGTGGTTGCAACTAAAAAATTTAGCTATAACTCATTGAGATCAGCAACGGAAGATTTTCATCCTTCTAGTAAAATTGGTGGAGGAGGTTATGGAGTTGTCTACAAGGTGAAAGTAATGACTCTCAATTTTTATTTTCCTGTTTTTTGTTGTTCTGATGCTTATCTGCTGGTTGTCATTAATCTTTGCAGGGAGTTTTAAGGGATGGTACTCAGGTTGCTATCAAGTCTCTTTCTGTTGAGTCTAAACAAGGAACTCGTGAATTTATGACAGAAATTGATATAATAGCAAACATACGACATCCAAATCTTGTGGGACTGATTGGCTGCTGTATTGAGGGTAGTCATCGAATACTGGTTTATGAATTTATGGAGAACAATAGCCTTGCCAGCTCTTTGCTTGGTAAGTACTAGTACAATTTAAATATTTATTTGGATGTGACTCTTTATAAATTTGATTAGTTTGAAAATTTTTAGGGTGACTTCTCTATTTGGTTATGGGGAATACAGGGTTTGATAAATGCAGTATAATACGTTGTAAATCAACAAATTGAGGGGTTATTTTTTAATTGGTTTATGCTAATGCAAGGAGAACAAATTTTACAGGTTCAAAAAGTAAATATGTTGCTCTGGATTGGCCAAAGAGGGCTGCTATTTGTTGTGGCACAGCTTCTGGTCTATGTTTCCTTCACGAAGAGGCTCAACCAAGCATTGTTCACAGGGATATCAAGGCCAGCAACATATTGTTGGACGGTAACTTTAATCCGAAAATTGGGGATTTTGGTCTTGCAAAACTTTTTCCTGACAATGTCACCCATGTTAGTACTCGAGTTGCAGGAACTGTGTAAGCACAAACATATCTATTAATATTTCCATCTGTCTAACTGGTGCCAGAATTATTCCTTTCGATAAATTCTTGTCAGTTATTTAGCCTTCTGTACTCATTGGAAATCCAATATAAATCTTAAGACAGATTTTTGAAGGAAAAATTATCAGTATTCTTAACCTCTATAGTTTTTTATGAATATCTGTAGACAAATATGAGTACTATTGAACCAAGATTAATAATGGGAACCGCAAGTTTGGAGCACCCTTGACTTTCACTGTTATTGTCTAAAAGTGGATATCAATGATGGTTGCAGTTATGAGTAGAAGAGTTATTAGTGATTGTATATTATCATAATATGTATAATAAATAACTGTCTTTGTACTATTGAATATGTATGTAGTGTGAAAATAGGTGTATTATTATTTTCAATTTGTGAATAGAGAATATTCTCTATAGGAGACTTTTGCCTAGGACAGCAATTTGTACTTCTATATTGAGTGTGATTTATGTTCAACTAGTTTATCAATCTTTCAGTATTCTATCAAGCATTAACTAAGCACTTCTGTTTCTCATCCATGTGATGTAATGAAATCACTTTAGACTTCAATCTTCCCTAAAATAGTAATCTGGTTCAAATTACTTAAGCATACAGAGTAGTTTTCTAATATTGACTTGCACTGTTAATTTCTCATATTTTTATATCATTAATAAACATATAATTATAACATTAATTCGGATAAATTTTTGAAACATTGCAGAAAAGGTCATGTGATTTCTATAATTTATTTAGCAATAATATTTTGTACTGAGCTGTAATGTTTGGCACAAAGTATGTTAACAAAAAGAATAGACAATGAAAAGAAATTTAAACTAAAACTAAACTGTTGCGTGCAAAAGAAAAACTGGAAGTAACTGTCTGTAATTTCTTATGTTTGTTGGGCTAAATTAGCATCTTTGTCGTTTGGAAACCAAAGACATTTGATCCTTATCTCAACACTTTATCAGTATAGGTACATTTTGATAATTCTTTATATAAGACTTGGCCATAATATATAAACTCAGTTTACCTCTTCTGTGGCAGGGGGTATCTTGCCCCAGAATATGCACTTCTGGGACAACTTACAAAGAAGGCAGACGTTTACAGTTTTGGGATTCTCATGCTTGAAATAATCAGTGGGAAAAGTAGTAGCAGAGCTGCATTTGAAGCTGATTATTTGGTTTTGGTGGAATGGGTATTTTTCTTGATTCTTGAGTGTGATTATTATTGATTTGATACAATACATGCTAGGATTTTCACTTAGCTTCTTTAATTTCAAGAGATATAGGAGAACATGAAGATGAATAAAGTCAAAAATACTAGTAGGATGCTTGAGAAGGGGGTTTAATCGAGTGTATGACAAACTTAAAAATGAAACTTGACAAAGAATAGAGTGCTGATAAAACTTTTAGCAGACAGGTAAATGATAAACCCAGAAAATGAGAGGACTGGCAAAATCAATTAAAATAAAGAGGATAGAAAGAGAAGTAGCTTGTGCTGCTGGTTTTATACTGGTTTGGCCAGGTTGGAACTTACATCCAGTTCCCAACAAGAGGTGAGATTGTCACTACTCAGCAGCAAGTATTCTTTGAATTTTGGCCTCTTCTGCCTAGATACAATATGTTCACACACTCAGAGCACATTGGTTGCTTACTAACTTTCAATCAAGAACAGAAGATAGAAATTTCAGCCTAACAGCTTAAGTATCAATAGCTCAAGGTAGCAGGGTGTAACAGTCATGAGATGCTATAAAGTTTGTGAACTGTTGCTTGAGAGAGGCTTTTTCGGAAAACCTTTATTTTTTCCATTCAACAACATTGTTTTAGGGGGATTTTTAGGGACAAGGTTGAGATTTACCTACCCCTTTCAAAAATTTATAACTGAATTGTCTGTGGTTTTCCTTGCTTGATATCCATAGTTTGACTAACACCTACCCATCTCCAACATTATTTCTGGCAACACCCACTTTCCATTTTATTTGTCTAAAGTGAACTCTAAACTCTCTACTTCCTTTGTTCTTTTCTCATTGCAACACCCAGCCTCACTTTTATGTCTTTTGATTTTTGTTGATTTCCCAACTTTTTTATTGTTATTTACTTGTACTTTTTGTGTAAAACCTATGACATTTTATTTATTTTTATTATGAATATGTCACAAATTGAGCCTTTTTTTTTGTTTTGTTGTTGTTTTTTATTTTTTTATTTTTTAATTGTGAGCATTTGTTTGTATACTTGTAATAGTGGCCATCTTGCTATGTGCTATACTGCTTTAGCATTTTGATAACTATGCCCCTAGCTCTTACAACACAAGTGAAATAAAGGCTTTAGACTCTAAGATGTTTTCTCACAAGAAGCATACTAGAGTATTTTGAATGGGCAGAGCAGCACACAGTTCTGTGCTATTTGTTCTTTCATAAGATACTGGACTTTTAAATATATTTGAGGATCTGTGGCTTTGAGGCTGGTCCACCTGGCGACAGAACACTTTTCAATTGAAGATTTTGTCCTCTAGAAAGATGGAGATTGTCCTTGAATCATTTCCAGTTGGCTAGCCACCCAATCATTATATGAAACCTTGCAGCACAGACTTTGGGGTAACAAACTTCTAGAAGATTCTGGAACATTATAACTAGATATTTTGCATCAGGAATTTCTTCTGATAGATTTCATATGACTAACATTCTTGTTAGCTGTTTTGTCTCAGATTCATTTCAAGCATCAACTTGTTCAGTAATTCGAGTGCTTATTTTAGGCTTCCTCAGCAGCTCATTAATGGCTTGCTTTCCAAAATCATTTAATTTATACATTAAGCATTCCAATATATATAAATTGAACTTCTTAAGGAATCTTCAAATCACTTCATACGTTGACATAATGCATTCTGGATCATGTAGTTAACTTTAATATTATTTCTCGAAATAGCATTCATGTATCAATAAGCATAGTTATCGCAGTCATTAAGGACATTGTATTTTATCATTGCTAAGTTAGGCAAGGTCAAGTGAGGGGGTTCTTGAACTAACACTAAATTATCAGAAGTTGATTGTAGAAGGTTTACTATCACATCTTGTTTTCCTAGCCTATAGGACTCTCATTGTGAAGTTGAAATTTGAGGCTTCTCATGCATAATAGAACCTCTTCCAAAATGTATTTTAATGCATTTACAGATGCTCAATGCTTCCTATAATCAGTTGATTAAATTGTTGTGCAGGTATATGTGAGACTAATTAATAAAAGATAAGAAAATATATTTACATTGTGTCATTAAACATTGCCTGTATCCTGTGTAGCCAAAAAGCAAAATGCATAACACAAAAAAACCACAACAAAAGCCTTTTCCCACTTAATGAGGTTGGTTATATGGATGGCGCAACACCATTCAGTTACTTAAAGATCAGATTTTCAAATAAACTATTTATGATGAGATCTCTCTTAACAGCTTCCTGCAATGTCTTTCTTCTCCCTCCCTTTTCATAGGAATACACTTCGGGCACTAAAGTCTCCTAACGGAACTAAAAAGCATAACAGAAAAAATAAAACAATATTGATGCATCCTTTTTCATTATTGTTGATCATATAAAAGTTGCAGAAATACATTCATTTCTCCTGACTCATCTTTCATGCATGCAGGCTTGGAAGCTGAAAGAAGAAAATAGGCTTCTAGACCTTGTTGATTCAGAACTAAGTGACTATGATGAGAGTGAGGTGTATCGGTTCCTTGTGGTGGCTCTATTTTGCACCCAATCAGGTGCTCAACATAGGCCAAACATGAAACAAGTATTGAAAATGCTTTCCAAGGAAGTTCATCTTAATGAGAAGGCGTTGACTGAGCCTGGAGTATACAGATGGCACAACAATGGAGAAAGGGGTCGTTCTTTGAATGAGACATCATCTCAGCCAATCAAGTACAAAACTACTGAAAATCCACATGAAGCAACGTCAACCCACTTTAGTGGTACAGATGTTGTGACTGAGATGTTTCCAAGATGATGATGATGATTACATGTGCACCTGGTGTTACGTACATAATAGTGGAATGTATAATATTTATCATTGTAGTTTTTAGGAATAAGATCCATGTGTTTCCAAAGGGAAATATAAGATCATGGGAAGAAAGGCCTTATTTCTTCAGCATGTATATTTGTGTGTATGCATATACATTTTTTCATTCTGCTATTTATTTTTTCTGCTGTTAATAGTAGTGTGATAATAATCTTGTTTCTGATATTTTAATATTTTTCATTTTGCATAGAATGTGGTCAGGTCTTAGTGATCAATACACACCCTTGGAGTTTAACAAAAGTTAAAATATTCAGTAAAATTGTTCGAAGATATATTTTAATAGTTTCTTTTGAAATATTGTTATACATTTTTCTGTACAACTTTTAATCAGGTAAACTTTGGTATGAACTAGAGGTGGAAACAGATTCAACCAAAATAAGCTTGTTATGAGTTTGACCTTTTAAAAAAAAAAAATCGAAGTCTTAATTTTAACCTTAAGGCTTGACCAGTTCAAAAGTCTAATTTGATTTGAAAATCTATTTAAAAACATAATTTATTATGAGGTCTTTTTAATAAAATTATGGCAATCAATAACTTATTAACTATTGTTGCTTATATTTAAGTCTTCAAAGAGACTATGCACATGGTCTTAACAAGTACAGCAAACGTTTAATACAATATTATATAAAACATGTTTGATCTGATCTTTGATGTAATTGATTTGGGATGCAAGTGTATGTAGTTTAGGGTCTCTCTCTGGACTAAACTTAGTTTGTAACTTACATGAATCAAACTAAAAACAACTACCAAAAAAAAAGTGTTTTAAGGGTGAATTAAAAATGTATAAAACTTAATGGTGATAGTTAGTATAATAATCAATTTAATGAAATCATATTTGCTTAACTAGTTAGCATGATTATTAGTAGTACTAGTAAATGAGAAAAAAAAAACCAATAAAAATTTGCTTGCAATTAAAAACTCATTACAACTAAATTATATTTAACTAGACATTAGTTGTAGCGTATTATGGCAATTAATTATTGCTATCATATTAAAATTGCTAAATTAAGGATTATTATATTTAACAAAACATTAATTAGCGTTGATCATAGTGTGACAATTAATCACTACCATCATATTAAAAATAAAAAATCCATTACACATACAACGACAAAATTAATTATTGCTATCATATTTTAGTGTGATAAATTCTCCAATTATACATTGAGGTGCATATTGATTGCAGTTTAAAAGGTTTCTCTGGATAAATTCTTGTCCAATATTTCACTTTTTTAGGGTTTGTTGGATAAAAAGGAAAAAAAAATAGTGAGGAAAAGAAAAGGAAGTCGAGATGCAATATAGTAAAAAATATTTAAAAGAAAAATAGTATGAAAAATAGAAAATATTTATTTTAAAAATAAATAAATAAATTAAAATTTTATTTTAATTAAATTTTTTATATAATTATTAATTGATTTTTATGAATGAAACTATTTTCTAAATTAACACATTTAAATTAATATTTTATTTTTTTAATAATATATACTTTGGTATATATAATTATAACGTATTTTTATCATAAAATTATATATTTTTTAAAATATTTAAGTTTAAATTAATAAAATAATATTAAATTATTAATTTAATTTTTATAATACTTTTGTATTTATCATAATTTATTAAAAGTTTATATATATTTTTTGAAATTATGAATATAAAAAAATTATTTATTTAAGTGGGATAATTTTATTAAATAATGTTTTCCTTACAATTTTTTACTTGTATATAACTAGAAATATTAAAATAGAAAATGATATTTTTTATTAATTTTCTTGTCATAGAATATTTTCTTATTTTCTTATTCTAATCACATTTCATTCTCTAATTTTTTTCCTACCTAAGTAAATTTCTTTGTCAATTACAATAATATTATAATATAATATATTATTTTTTGTTTTGCATGTAGTCGTATAATAGAAGTTTACAAAATTTTAATTATTTTATACACGCATAAAAAATGTTAAAAATATTACATTGTACATAAATATAAACATGCATAAAAGTAAAAAAAATAAAACAAGACAAAAAAGTTAGATCAAAAAGCATTTTAGCCCCTATATAAAATTTTGACACTATCATATTAATGTTTGAAAATAAGGAAATTTTACAATAGTGTTCCAGTAATCCAATCCAATTGTATATTTAAAGTGTTATTTAAATGATAATGCTAACATATATTTTAGACAAAAATTTATGCTTTCAAATAGTGTATTAGTAGAGAAGACACAGATTAAAAAATAAAAATAAAAATAATGATATATATACCGCTTTCAACCAAACAATCAATCTATAATTCAATTTAATAATAATAAAAATGTAAATATAAAAATTTATTATTATATTATTATAAATAAGGTATAGGATTATATAAAATCATTATTCAAGAAGATAATGAGGTTATAAATAGGATGAGATGAAAATTTAATTGTGCGATCAACGGTGGATTCTACTGCAACGTGTCCCATAGGTCTCATCATTGGTCCCCACCTGTGTAACCTTACGGCAAGCCAATGGGGGTACATCCGTAATCACACAACATCCACGTCCCCTGTTCAACCGAACCCCCTCCTTCGGGGTCTATAAATATAGATATCAAAGAGCTGTGAGAGTTTGAAAATCGCAGGCTAGAGAGAGAAACAAGAGAGAGTGAGAGAATGCTATGAGTTTCAGAGACTGTAATAGAGAGAGAGAGGGTGTGTGTGTGACTCTGCGAGAGAATCTTCGATGATTAGAAGAACCAAACACCGAAAGAAGAAAACGGCATTCACGAATCTGCGCGAAACTCTCGTCTCCTGAGCATTCTCCTCTTCGCTTTGCGTGTTGTCTCAACCGTTGTCGTTTTCGTTTCCGGACACTCGGAAGCGTGCCGCGCGCGCGAGTGATGAGTCATTTAGGGTTCAAACACGAGGTCTACGACGGCGACAAGCATGTCGGCGAACTCGACGTTTTCCCGACGACACCGTTTCACAACTTCCGCTTCCCCAACAACGAGATTCGCATCCACCATTTCAGCGCCAAGAGCGAGCGCTGCCCTCCTCTCTCGATCCTTCAAACCATTGCGGCATTCAACGTCCGCTGCAAGCTCGATTCCTCAGTCGCTGTAGAGCAAAAGGAACTAATCTCCATCCACGCCAGTTGCTTCTACGAAATGAAGGTTCAAATCAATAAATTAAATAAGCGAAATGAGTAAATAAAGATTTTATTTTCTGCAATATTAGTGTTTCTGACCAAGCGGTGCGTTTTAGACGGCGGTGGTGGTCGTAAACGAAGAGGAGATTCACCTCGTTTCGATGCCGAGCAAAAGGAAGAAGTTTCCGTGCTTCTGGTGCTTCGTGGTTCCTTTAGGACTCTACGACGCGTGTTTGGGGATGCTGAACCTGCGCTGTCTGGCGATTGTGTTCGATTTGGACGAGACTCTCATCGTGGCGAACACGATGAAGTCGTTTGAAGATAGGATTGAGGCCTTGAGGGGTTGGCTATTGCGCGAGATCGACCCTTTGCGGGTGCAGGGGATGTCCGCAGAGCTTAAGCGCTACATGGAGGACCGATTGCTGCTGAAGCAGTTTGCAGAGAACGATTGCGTGGTGGATAACGGAAAGGTGTATAAGGTTCAGATGGAGGAGGTGTCGCCGCTTTCTGGTAGCCACGAGAAACTGGTTCGTCCGGTTGTTAGGCTGCAAGATAGGAATATTGTACTTACTCGCATCAATCCTGAGGTATGTGTCTTTATGTTTATTAATTGACTTTGACTATAGTCGCTCAGTCAGAACTTTGTTTGTGTGTTTGTGTTTGATTTTAATTGTTGGTTTGTTTTTGTGGTGTTTGGATTTTGGGGTTTTTTTATGGAGAGTTGAGTGGTGGTTGGAGATTGCATGATGGGAATTTTAGGGTTTAAGTTTGGGGTTTCGGGAATCAGTGAAATTTAATGAGAGGTGAAGTTTGTGGGATGTGTAGTGTGGTGATGTACCTGTTTTGTTAAAATTGTTTGATGGGATTGAAATGGTGAAACGGATTGTGTGATGTGGGTGCTCTTGGTTGTGACGTTTACACTTCAACTGTATTGGGTGCGTCAGAGCACAATGCAACTGCGATTTCAAATCCTTTAAATGGGTGGGAAATCAGATTGTGTAATGAAGGATGAAAGTGGAGCTGGAGAGAGAGTAAATCTTCTCGAATCATTCTTTGCAAACCCGTCCTTATACTTGATTCTGAGTCACACATGAAATTGAATGCGGTATATATTGGCAAGATAAACAGCTCTGGCTTGGAGAAGCACAGGTTTTCAACTGGTTTGTATAGTCATCTACTTCATTACTACTTTACTCATATATATGAATGCTTTGGGTTTAGAAGAGTAGGGTTTTGCCCAGTAGATTTTGGCTGAATTAGTAATTTTTTATTACCAACATAGGGTAGAGACAAAGCATGACATTAATTTGTGTTTTATTGATATGTGTTGTATTCTGCTTTCTTTCATCTTGGATTTTGGATGATTGGCCATTTAAGAGTTGTTCTGTTTTAATATTTTGTGTTGATTCTTTCTTATTTACAGTTTCATTTTGCCTATTTGTTTGTTTGTTTGCGTGTGTAAGTGTACCTTGAAATTATGAGTTGAGTTACAAAAATAAGTTATGAGCTAAATACATTGCTGAATGGCAAAGGCTCTAAGGAACTAAGTCATAATTATATATTTCTATTATTGATTAATTTGCTTGGTGGCTACTAATTCCTGCATATTTTTATTCTTGTTATGAATATGTATGCTATCAATTTACTTAACCAGGCTTTTGGTTTTCTTAATGGATCAATTTTTTTAGTTTTGTTGTAGTTATGCATTCTAAGTGATCTCCATCCCATCTCTTCCACTAGAAAATAAACAAAATACAAACTTGTAAATTTTTTCCTATGAATTTGTATGCATGTGGTGGAGTTAGCAGTTACACCTAATTAGTGTATTTGTGTTTTGAAGCCCTTTGATATGTAGGGATTTTGAGTCTTTTTTTTTTCCAGATTCGTGATACTAGTGTATTAGTGAGATTACGGCCAGCATGGGAGGATCTAAGATGCTATTTAACTGCAAAAGGACGCAAGCGGTTTGAAGTATATGTGTGTACTATGGCTGAAAGGGATTATGCTTTGGAAATGTGGAGGCTTCTTGATCCTGAGGCACATCTTATAGGTCCAAAGCAAATCATTGAACGTGTGATTTGTGTCAAATCAGGTATAATTCCTATTTTTTCCTAATTATTTGAACTTCCTGTGAATATTCTTTCTTTAACATCATACATTTTTCACACAATTTTCAAATGAAACATGTTAAAAACAAATTGTTCTATTGGGTATTTTTTGGTTATGTAACCAATAGAAATTGCACAGCATTGATTTTGCTTTATTATGTCCTATTGTTGGTTCTTGTTGTGATTAATTTCTTCTTTGCTGCATTTTATTTTCATATTGTGCAATTTTCAGGCTCCCGGAAATCCTTGCTAAATGTTTTCCAAGATGGTATATGCCATCCCAAAATGGCAATGGTTATTGATGACCGGTCAAAGGTCTGGGAAGATAAGGATCAGCCTAGGGTTCATGTTGTTCCTGCCTTTACTCCTTATTATGCTCCTCAAGCAGAGGTGCAGGTTTATGTATATTATTGGATAAAGTATTTTTTTCTTAGTATCCATGATAAAGACTCATAACTTTATTATTATTTTATTAGACGGCCAATGCTGTACCAGTCCTATGTGTAGCGAGAAATGTTGCATGCAATGTCAGAGGTTGTTTTTTCAAGTAAGTTATACAACATTTTGTTTCATTGGCTCTAATTTACTTCCCACTGGGACTATAATAATTACTTCGCCATACTCTCAGAGAGTTTGATGAGAGTTTATTACAAAGAATTGCTGAAATCTTCTTTGAAGATGATATTGGAATTTTACCTCACCCTCCAGATGTGAGCAACTACTTGATGTCTGAGGTATTACACTGGAAACTCAGTATTTTGTAGCTTATTGATGATAATCAGCCATCTATGACGATCTTCTATTACATTGCTGTTGAAGATGCTTGTTTGTTGCTCTAATATCACCATGTTCACTGGTTGACAAGGATGTGCCAAATGGTAACGCCCCTCTCAGTGAAGGAATCAATGGTGCAGAAGTTGAACGGAGGTTAAGCCAACCTGTAAGTTTCCTTGGTTTTCAATGTGTTTTTTCTGATCTCTGTTATTCTCAAACTTTCTAGTGAACCTTGGTAGGGAATTTCTTGTCCGTGTGATGAGTTTTGGTATTGATGTCCACAGAATGGAACATTTGTAGATACTACACTAATTGTCCCTTTATTTATTGTATTATTCATTTCAGGGTGATAAATTTCCTGTTGACATAGTTACCCAACCCATGGCAAACAGTGTTGAGTTCAGGCATGAACCCTCTCAGCCAACTGGTGGTATTATTTCAAATGTCACTGGCCCTGGATCTTCAAGAACGCTGATTCCATCACAGAGTATGGAACAACTTATGCTATTAGGATTTCTACATTTTACATTTGAAAATCTATGCTTTCTTTTGATGTTATCTTTCCCAACCTTGTTTCAGAACCTGGTTTGCTTGGACCTCCAGTCAAGCATGAAGGCAGCTCTGTTGATCGGGAATATGACACACGAAAAGGTCTTCTAAGCATGAGGCATGGTCCAGATATAAGAGGTCAAATTTTGGCTGAACCTCCTCTTATATCAAGGCCACCTAATCAAGCATCAACATCTTTAATAATGCCAAAGCCATTTGGCGGTGGGTTGGTAGAAGATGATCTAACCAGCAGAACTCAGACAAATGTTTGGCCTTTAGCATCTGTTAAAGAATCTAATGTAGTAAAGTACGATAAGCATCAGGCTCAACTGAAACCATTTTCTCATAGTGTCATAGGTTCACCCCCCAACGTTGTGCCCCAACAAGCATCGCAACTTAAGGCTGAAGAGGTTGGTCAAGAACTTTTTGTTGCATCCCATTTTTCATTAACTTAAATTTTCTTTGGAATACCGTAAAATTTTCTGTTTTGAAATATTATGTATATGCAGGCAACTTCTGTTTCTGATTTGCAGAGGCAGAATGCTCCATCTAAGTCTCTGCTATCAGGTAAAGCTTATTTCCTTAATATATTCTGAATTTAAGCCTTTGAATCGAATTTGATACTCTTATTATGTACGATGAATAGTGTGTGAAAATAGATCAGGTGCTATTGACAAGCTAGTTTCTGAACTTCTCATTTGCATTTTATTTGCCTATAATAATTGCTGCTTTTTGTGTTGTGTTATTGACCAAACATTCTGCAGAGGATGGGATATCTCAGAATCATGCATCTTCTAATGGTAAGGATCTTCAAAATGAAGCTGGAAAATTGAACTTATTACCCCCTCTATCTATTCAAGTGCTGCAGGAAATTGGGAGGCGGTGTAACTCAAAGGTATACATGGTTTCTGCACCTAACTGATAATTTTTTCTGTTTTTCTTGAGCTTCATTTTTGTGTTTTCCCATTTTAGGTTGAGTTTAAGTCCATTCTAAGCACCAGCAAAGACTTGCAGTTTTCGGTCGAGGTCAGTGAATGTTATTTCATATCCTCTTTTTGGTATTCTACACCTGTGTATGCATGTTTCGTGAACAATATATATATATATATATATATATATATATATATATATATATATATATATATATATATAATATTTTTAATTGCAGTAGTACTCTTTGCTTATGTAGTATGAGTTGTGTTATACTACTATATGCAGTAGTTGATCAGTGTTTCTAAACTAAAATTTTGTTACCCTTGGATCTGAAATAGTTATGGTCTTCTCTTTTTAAATTAATTGGTAACCTCTGTTGTAAATTTGTCGTGTGCCTGGGTTTAGGTACTGTTTACTGGTGAGAAAATAGGTGTTGGTATGGGCAGGACAAGGAAGGATGCTCAACAACAAGCTGCTGAGAATGCCCTTCGCAGCTTAGCAGGTACCACAATTCAAGTTAATTCAAAAAATATATTCTGATTTTTTTTTTTTTTTTTGTAGTTTATGTTGAAAAACTTCTTGGAATATAGGGATATGAACATTCAGTTAATAACATGATACAGGCTGATGGATAGGATATTGTTGCTGCATCTGGTGACATGGTTGGTTGTCATGTTTAGTGGATATATGGAGATTTTCTTTGCTTTTTGGTTAGTGATAGCATTTACTTGTTGCTTGACAACAAATATCTGAATCTACCCTTCTATTCCAACACTATGCATGCGTGTAGAATAGTTTTGAGATTTTTTTTTATGGTTTCTGAAATTGTACCCATTGATTATTGAAGCAAGTGGAACAATAAAGAGTGAGTTCAATAATATCTATTGGTACCCAATGTTCCGGTGTATGATAACTGGTAAGCTAGAAATTATCGGCATAATTGGTTCAATAGGTAAATATTCTTTTGTACTTTATTTTCTGGAATCTAGGAATTTGCTTCTCTGCATGACACTGGTGGAAACATGATGGTTGATTAACAAAGTTTGCTCGTGATAATTCATTGTTGTAAGCGTAACTAAATTTTTGGCCCTTTATTGGAACTATAGTGAGTACTTAGGTATTTATTATTTTTGGTTATGGAATTACAGAGAAGTATGTGGCACATGTGGAGCCTCAGTGTCGAGCTGTTGATAGAGAGTTTGACAAGCTTTCTCTTGGACGTGATAATGGTTTCGTGTGGGATGTGGTCAATCCAGAATTCAATGAACTGCAAACAGAAGATGGAGTGCCTAGAGAAAATGCTTCTGAGGTGGGTTTTCTTAAAGTTTTTGGTAGTGATTTGACTTGTTTAGGTGATGCTTGGATAAGGGTATGTGGACTAGAAATTCCAGATGAAAGTGGTTGTTAAGAGAAATCACCTCGTTTATGGAATTGTGTGGCATCAGTGTGAAGGCTAAATCACTGAATGGGGAGTGAACTTGCTTCACGTCTGCTACTGCTGTCTTAGACAGGCTTCTTTAATTCTGGCTTAAAAGGTAATGGCTTGGTGGTTGGTCCCTGGTATCTACCCATTATCCAAGTACTCCCTTATCATTTCAACCCTATTGTTGCTATTGCATGTCTCTCAGTTACGTTGTTTTTGCTACAGTTCTGTTGGAATACAAGTAATCAATTACCTTTTCCCTTAGTTTATGTTATTGGTTTAATTATTTTCATAACAGTTGGTCTAAGGGTTGATGCATGGAATTTGTACAGACTCAAATAATTGGTACTGTTTGACAGTACATGAACTAGGTTGTTTTATGGAAATTTTTTGGTGGGGTTTGCTGTAATACCTTTAGGGGGGAAAATTTATATACTTGGTTATCTTCGAATATCCTAACTTCTCACGTGGATTTAAATATTTTGTATCAATTCACTGTGATTTTCAGGCTTCGGATGCTGAGACTAGGGTATGTACACCTAATGCCATTAATCAACAAATGGAAAAGCGTATCAGCTCCCCGAGGTAACTTAAAATAGGATTTTATCTGGAAGTGTGAAAGCATGAATTTTCCGCTTTGAACTCTAACGTCTCTGTTATGTTTTTCTTCTCAATGATCCTGTTTATTTTCTTCCTCCGGAATATATAATGGTGTCTTTATGACCGGCATGCAAACAATATTTTAGGATGTATAAATTTAATGATTTGTTACACCAGCAATTTATTTTAAGGGTGAGTATATTATGATAACGGTTCTCCATGCTTAGTTCTCTTTGTTTACTTTCAGAATGCCTCATTCTATTTCCAATAAACGATTGAAGGAATGAAAAAGTTGGAAGATGAACAACTTAACAATATTTACCGTCAGTGAAGCAACTGGAAAATGAATTCTCATGACTTATCATTTTGTACGCAAAAAGGTTTTGATGTAATTTGCGCTTGTAATATCTCTGCCATAGCGGATGTAGATGCTGAGGTAAATTTCCTTGGCTAAATTCTGTTATAGAGAAGGGCATTTTTTTTGTCTTGCCCTACTATTTTCCTCATTTATAGAATGCTTGTGTAGCCTCCTTTTCAATATTAATTACTAATTACACAAGAAAATCATATCGCCTTTGTTTACTAATCGGCTTTTCTTACTCTTTGGTGTCTTCAGATTTGTCTGATTGGTATTTATTAGTAATCACTGTAATTAGTGTCCTGAGATATTCTTCTAATCTTTTGATCTTTTGGATAGTTGATTTTAAAGCACATGGTCTCAAGTATATGTTTTGTCAGACTCAAACATAGGTCTTGTTTCACAAGCTGAATTTGTTGCTAAGCGACCTACATTAGGTTATTTGATTAATAACTTCGGCTTACAATTCCTTAGTTTTGATTGTATTCTATTTTGGTCTACAAGTGTTTTATGGGCCAATAATCAAGTAAATTTTGTTAATTTTTGTTGTCCGTGAAACTTTTTCTATCTAAAAATATTGTAAATGTAATATTTGTCTGCATATTTGGCAAATTTATAATGAATTTGGGATATAAAATATATTAGTTTAGAAGAAGTAAGAGCAATGAAAAATTAATCAATTTGAAGGAGTTTTAGTGGATGTGGTTATATTTATGACCGGAAGAGAAGAAAATTTGAAATTTCTCAAATAAAGTTAACGGATAGCTAAATTATGTAAAAAAAAATTGGTGAAATTTAAAGAAAATTTAACATATAATTTTAACTACTTTTTGAGGCCCTTTGAATTTTATGCTTGAATTTCCTCTTTCCGTAAACTGTCTTAAATTTTTTTTATTTTTCATTTACAAATTAAAAAGTTGTGGATATATGATTTACTTAAGGCATAAAGTAATTTTAAAATTATGATAGTATTATGTAAAGATGGGGCTTGAAAAGAAGTGAGTTTTTCTGTGGCTAAATTAGGTGACTTTATCTATATATAGGTTGTTAAGACGGTTTTATAAGTTAGTGACTTGTTTTTGGTTGTTTTAATGGGTTAAATAAAATAAAGTTTTTATTTATAAGTTAATGAGTTGTTTTTTTTTTATCCTTTGGGTTAAGCCTGATGAAAAATTTAAATTATAATTTACCAAAAACAGAATATAAAATAATTTATCTAGAAAACTAATTAAAATATTACAAATATTAAATAAAAATGTTTTTAAATATAAGTTATATATTAATTTTAATTTGAAACATTAATTTAATATATATATATTAATAAATATTTTTTTATTTAAATATATTATTAATTAATAAAATAAAATGAGTTAAATTTGATGTAATTAAATTTAGCCCATAAATTTATGATTTATATTTTTTTTCTAAGATTTCCGGGTGTAACATCCTAGTTATAATGTCAGGATTTTTGTTGTCAAAATAAATTTTCAAAAAATTAAAATATCATTTTCATCCTCACGAGAAACTAAAATAGTGTTGAATATTGAATTTTTTTTAACGGATACTTTGTTACACATTATCTTGAGAACAACGCGGTCATTAGATTTTTGGTTGATTTATTTTTTTATGTTTTAAAGTTTTTGGGGTGAATTCAGAGTCAAATTTACGCAGCCAGCAGGTCATCAAACCGCCGGAGTTTTTATATATATATATATATATATATATATATATATATATATATATATATATATATATATATATATATTTTTTTTTTAAATTAAACAAAAATATTTTATAAATATATATAGATATTTTTTCTTTTTAATTTTTATTGAATAAATATCATTTTTACGTAATTTTTTACTTATAATATTTTTTAGATTTTTATTTTTTTCCTCCATTTTTTCATTTTAACACTAATTTTATCTTTTCATACTTTTTATATTTTTTTATCACTTATTAATTTTTATATTATTCTCTTTTACGGTTAAAATAAAAATTATAAATTTTTTCTTTAATTTTAATTTTTTATAATTTTATTTCTATAATATAAAAATTATTATTTTTTATTTTATAATTTTTTATATTTTTTGTTCAAGAAAATATAAGACAAAAAATTACAAAAATAAATAAAATATCTCTTAATAATTTTTTTAAAAGTAAAAACAAGCAAACAATTTTTTTTATTATAATAAATTAATCTGTGTAATGTAACATAAAAATATAAAATATTAATATAATATAATTTATTTATTATAAATTAATTATTATTTTAATATTTTATGATATTTTAGTTTGATGTTAAAACTTGAATATTTAAAAATAAAATTATAGATTCAATTTTTAAAATAAATAAATAAATTTTATTTTCTAATATTTAAATTTAATAAATAATATATAATATATTTATTTTTATAGAATAATTAATATTTATATGTGAATCTCTGCTCTAAATGTCCGACATCAACTGAAGATGTTAATTGACAACATAGGAATAAATACATGTAAATTTCTCTCCATAAAAATTCCACTTGTTTTCCATACAAATCTCTTCAAACTGGGAAGAGAAAGGTCCACTCACATAACTAGTTAACAGTGTTTTAATAGACAAATATGAGGGGTAAGTTTTAGTTTTAGTATTTCCTCAGCATCGATGTTAAGAAAATGAAGTTACAGTGAAATCGATGCAAAGTATTCTGTTATATTTTCTTTAGATTTGCCTATACAGGGCTTTTTTTTTAAATGAGTCTTAAGATATAAAATCTTGTAGCAAGTGGGAATTTCACATTAAAGATGCTAAAATATTACGTCACTCAGAACTTGACAATCTCTAATCATACTTTAAAAGAAATATATATAAAAGAAGTAGGTCCACTTCTAAAATTTTAAATAAAATATTAACTAATCACATTGTTGACTTAAAAAATTTAAATCCTTTAGAATTAATAATAAATCAGTAAATCTATGTAGTGGAAGACTTTTCAAATACAGTGAAGAGTAAATCATCCATGAGGCAAGACAGAGATGAAAAAAAAAAAAAAATCATTAATGAAGACAAATGAGCATAGAATAGGTGCAAGACACTTATTTATACTAAAAAGAAATAATTATTCTATGAGAATGAAAATAACTTGAGCGTTGATTCTCCAAGGAAACAAAACTCAACGTGTGCTCTTCATCACCGCAGAAGCACTCCATTTCTGTGTCTCTTTTGGACGATCAAGATTCTCAGTCAAATTGGAAATTTCTGACTCAATCTGGGAATCTTTATTTGTCTGAGCAAGTTGGTCTTCCTCTGATGTCTTGGAAACTTGTTCTTCATCATCATCTGTTACTTTCTGGAGTTGAGCATTTTCCCAATCCTCAGAAACAGTGATTCTGTTCATAGCCTCCCAAGTCTGAACAAATCTATCTGGCCCTGGCTGCCACACAATGTCACCTTCTCTTCTTTTCAAAATGATTTTGAATTGAAATTTTCCAACAGGTACACCCTGATTGCATCAAATGTGGCAGGAACATCCATAAACTGTTCTATCACACAACATTTTCCATATTTTGAAAAGATTACAATAACAATAGTAAGACTCACCATCTCTGCAGTCCACACATGCCCTTCTGACCAGCTCATTGGTACTGCATTTTCAGGGTTCCATGATCCAAACATTGGATCATTACCAACTACTAGAAATTGTTCACCATATTTACAATTGCGGTGTAACTGAAATTTGACATTAATCATCTTTGCTTCCTCCTCTGCATGACCCAAATTTTCATTTTTAGAGAGCTACTTACACAGAATATATATTCAGTAGAAAGATCCTATTGGGTGTTTGCTAAGACTTAGAACTCACTTGGTTGTTCTTGAGTTTGAACCACCAAACTGTCCAAATCCATCTGCATCATGTTATGCAAACCAAGATTAAATTTCAAAAGCAAAACTCATGACCTCTAACTAACATCAGTTTTTTTTTATTTCACTGTCCCATGTTTTTCTAACCCACTACAGAAAGACTAATTCAGAAAGTTTAATTTCATAACAAGTTTCTCCAAATAAGAGAATGAAAATTTGTAAGTTTGATCCAATGGAAAATTTGAACACTAAAAAAAAAGATCCCCTCCGTAAGAATTAGAAACAGAAGTGGGAAAGGACCATAGTTTTGGATGGCACAGCATGAAGTGGGAAAAGGCCCTTGTTTTGAACAAGTTTTGGGAACCCAGAGCTGCAACCCTTGTGGCCATTGGGGGTTAAGGAAAACTTGGGTGTGTTGGAAGCATTTGGAGCATACATAGGAACATGAGTTCCTAGAATGGCCTTGGAGCAAGAGCTGTTAATGGCCATGGCTTCTTCCTTTGTAGTAACTGGGTTTTGTTGCAAATTAGTGTGTTATTGAGAGTGGAAGTGGGGTTCATTTTATGCTGTTGTTAGAAGAGTTTGTGCACTACTTCAACCCTTGGATGCTAAAAATAAAATGCAAGTCGAATTAGACATGGTCATTTTGCTCTTTGTTCCGTGAGATTCTCAACAAACTCATCATTGGTTTGTCTCAGTGAGTGGCTACACTCAACTCTCTCACTTCTCCACTGTACCGTGGTGAATGGTTCTATGTTGTCCTTTATTTAAGGCATCAAAACCTTTGTTTTATCAACATTTTATATTTTTATTACAATTTCTATTACTCATATCCAATAATTATTATGCTGACATATTCATGCAATTTTCATTAAAGATAGTACACCTAATTTAATATACATAAAATTTATTTGAACAAATTTCTTTATTGAAGACTTATAAAAGACAAAAAATGACTTTATAATTGTTTCACGAGGTACCGAAGTTATATATTCTTTTTAGGTTTCAATTATGTTCTTTGGGTCCCTAAGGTATCACGTATGCCCCAATGTAATTATCTGAAATCCTAATTATATCAATTAGGTTTGTATATATTACATTCACGTGATTTTAGTTCGTCAAATATATAATAATTTATAAATTAATTTTACGTCATTAAATTCTAAATAATGGAGGGCTAAAATTGCATCATTTTGATATCAAAAGAATTCAACAAACACAACTAAAATATGATAAATTAGAATGATAATTACCTCACAACTTAATTAACACAATTAAAACAAAATTCACATAATTGCATTACTTAAACATGATATTGTGTGGTTAGCTACAATTATTTGTTTTTGAATGTGAGATTAGAAACATAGATGACATTATTTGATTCAGTTAAACATAAAATATTTGTATGATATTTTATTATAAGAAAAAGGTATAATGGGTATCCCTTTGCGTAGCTAATCTATATTAACCATCACTTAATGATCACAAACCAAAATTACCTTGAAAATGTATTTTCTTATGCTTTTTCATATTCAGAGCAGTTCTCAGTGAGAGATTCTTATGGCATAGTAACATATGGGACAATCAATTTCTGCAACTTGAAACTAACCCCTTTATCGGTAATCAGAAACTATAAATTACTTACAATCTTTTTCTTCTAATCAATTCAATTATTGTTTGAATCTCGATATGATAAAAGGGGACATAAATGTATCTCAGACATAACATTGTGTCTCCCTCTAATTTTATAGTCCCACATCGAGCACAAAATAATTAACCAAATCTTTATATTCTTCTTGACAATGTCATCTAATCGCCGAGCTCGGTAACGCTAGCTTGTGACTATAATGAGTGCTTTACTGTGATGGGATATTTTTGTCGCTTGCTGGGCGGTCTTTGACTGCAAAAAACTGATCTACCCACTCCAAGTCCCACGGGATTCAGACGAAGGCCCGAAGGCCTGAATCTCTTGGGTCCTAGAAAAGAGGGCATTGCGTGAGGCTGGATTCACAGAGCAGAGAATACCTCTCTCTTAACAGTGGAGGGATAACAGGCAGCTGTTATCATTGCCCGCTATGCCTGGTGAGCCTAGATGCATAGACCATCACTTCTTCTTTTTTTTTTTTACACAAATATTTCAACCTGAAACACGTTTGGATTTTGACATTATTTTTACTACTCTTTAATTGATATGTGGCTTGTTCTGTGAATGTGGTTAATACTACACCATATTGTAAGTATTCAGTGTGAATATAAATGTTTTGTATTTCAAGTCAATTATCATTTATATAATGTTAAACTGACTTTGTTAATACGAGAATATTGAATAGTTAGATGTTACATATAAATAGATATACATAAAATCTTGTAGTTTTACATATAGTTAAATATTTTCCTCTTCTAAAATTTTGTTCATATAGCACTATGCTTTATTTGTATAAATGTTCTTGATAGTATGTAGTTTGTTGATGACCACAGTGATTGGCATTCGTTCACTAGGTGGATTTGCAGCACAAGACATTCCAATTTGCATCAGATACACAAAGCAATCCTCCATCAAACTTGCAGTCGTGACTTCAATCTCATAGTTCCCCCTTATAGCTTTCTCTTCACTTTGAAATTCTTTATTTTCGCCATCCAATTATTGGTCAGAGACTAATGAAGGATCAACTATATCCTTGACATTGTGAGGTAGATCCATTGCTACAAAATGCTGAATTCCCATGCCACCTTCAAATGCTTCATCTGTTGGTCTTTTTCCGGTGAAAATCTCTAGTAATAGAATCCCATAGCTGTATATATCTCCAATTGTAGAAGGCTTCCCACCCATACCATACTCAACATGTCAATTATTAGTGGGTCATTTTTTACAAATATAATACATTTTAGCACTTTGAATTTTGAATAATAACATACCTGGAGGGATGAAGCCAATAGAACCCCTTAGGTTAGCTTACATAACTTGTTGTGTGAATAACTTGCCTGATTCTTCAAACAAAAATATAGCTAATCCAAAGTCACCAACATGGGCAACCATATAATTGTCAAGAAGCACATTGCTTGGCTTTATGTCACAATGAACAATTGGAGTTTCACAGAAGTGGTGGAGATATTTCAGTGCACAAGCAACATCAATAGCTATGTTCAGTCTTTGAATGAATCTCAATGTCTTTTTCTGAAATTGCAAATTACTCACGGGATGCAACCAATCTTCTAGACTTCATTGGAACCTTCTCAAGATCATAAATGCCATCTCAGGAATTGATCATCACAACAATGACTTCAAAGCTCTAATGTTTGAGTACATGTCTAATGACCTTATACTTCTCAGAACTTGCCATTCATCGATGAAGCTCTTAAATGCTCCTCTCTGTTGAAGATTTAATACTTTAACTGCAACACTTGATTGATCACCTGAGAGAGTTCCTTTGTATACAGAACCAAAACTTCATGAACCAATCAGGTTATCTTGGGAGAACCCGCCAGTGCACTTGCTAATTTCTGAATAAGAAATTTTCATTTCCAAATCCTTTCAGTAGTTGATGTAGTAGTTTTCTTTTTTGATCTTTTAGCTATGAGGAACAATTTAAGAAAACATGATAGAATTAAAAGTAATATAAATGCACACGCTACAAGGATAGCCACCTTAGGAGTAAGATGTTTTCTTGCCAGAGAAGCTTTCCTGACAGTGCATACAGGGAAATTTAGTTCTGGGACACCCCCACATAACTTGTTCTTCCATATAATAAAAGGGAAGTTGCATTTTTGAATATTCCATTCTTTGGTATTTCACTTTCAAAATTATTGTATGAAAGATTTAGAAGCTTGAGCTCAGTGAACTCCCCAAGAAACTCAGGAATCTTACTAGACAAGTATTTCGTGAACGGTCTATATCAAGAAAAGCTCTCAAATTCTGTAAAGTTTGAGGGATGTTTCCCTCAAAAGAATTTCCATCCAAATGCAGCTTTTCCAAGCTAATACATCTGCCAAGAGAAGATGGAATAACTCCAGAAAAGTTGTTCTCAGATAGCATCAACTCTCCAAGGCTATGTAGCTTACTCACCTGAGCTGGAAGAGTCCCTGACAAAGTATTATGAGATACATCCAAGTAGATATTGCTAGTGAAGAAAGTCCAATAACTTCTGCTGGTATGGTGTCACTGAGCTTGTTGTTATAAAGGCTAAGTACCAATAAATTTTGGCAGTTTCCAAGACTAGAAGGGATGCTTCCCTTAAAGTTGTTCTCCTTTAGAAAGAGTTTTATTAATATAGACAAATTTCCCAAAGAGGATGTGATTCTACCTTAAAATTTGTTGACATTCAGATACAATACTCTCAGATTTTGCAGCTTACCTAATGAATAAGGAAGACTATCGGTTAGCCGGTTTCCTTCCAATGCTATGAGGGTGAGGTTAGCAAGATTGCCAATTCCAACAGGTATATTTCCATGTATTCCATTGGAACTAAGGGTAAATGTGTGCAATTGCCTTGGGAAATTAGAAATTGATTTAGGCAACACTCACCAAAATTATTTACTCCTAGACGTAAAACTTGTAAAACTGTGCAGTTGACCAAAGAATCAAGAAAGCTAAGATCATTTGTTTTCCCAGTTTCAAGTCTGTTGTACTCAGAGCTAAGTCTAGTTAACCTATTCAAGACCCTTAAGTTCTTTGGCAGTGTTCCAGTAAGACCATTCAAGGAGAAGTCAAGAATCTCTAGTTTTGATGCATTATTCAACAGCGATGCAGGGACAAAACCTATGAGATTGTTAACCGCACCAGCAAATACTTTAATGTTAGGAAGAGTGAATCCAACATCAGCTGGTAAGTTCCCATGAAGATGGTTTTGAGTAAAAGTGAAATAGTACAAGGAAGATATGTTATAGATTGAAGAAGGAACTGTGCCACAAGTCATTCCCATATAGCACAAGATATGTCAAGCTTGATAAACGGTCTACCTCATGTGGTATGTTTCCGATGAAGTTGTTCAAGGCAAAGCTAATGCGAGACAAAGAAGAAAGGTTTCCTATCCAAGTTGGGATTTTTAGCACCTGTAAGATTGTTAGCACCTGTAGCTAGTACTTCTAGTTTTGTGCAGTGACTGAGATTACTTGGAAGACTCCCACCAAAGTTATTATAGCTGAAGTTTAGATGTTGCAGATAAAATAAACGACCCACCTCATGAGGAAATTCACCATGGAAGCTATTGTTTAACAAGTTGAGTGTGTTGAGGAATGTGAGATTGCTTATGAATGGTGTAAGAGTGCCTCCTACTCCTAGTTGCTCAAGGCTAAGGTGCACGACCCTTCCAACGAAGATGTTGCATGTGATTCCTATCCAATTGCAATGATGGATGGATTCATTCCAAGAACTCATAATGTTGAATAGATCTTCTACTATCTTACTCATGAAGTCGAGTAAAGCTTGCAAATCAGTTTCATTTCATGCAAGGGTTGCTGCAATTGTTGATTCCTTCATTAAGATCATACATAGTAAAAGACATCTATTCAGGATTTGTAACAACAGGCTCTTCCAATTTGCTCTTGGATGGTTCATATTTTAAGTGCAAAATTTTGATGCTAACTCTGAAATGATATAGGTTATGTTTTAAGGTAAAAAGAAGTAACTAAGATTGCCAATTTGCAACAATAATAGGTAGGAGATGGTTGATTCCTATTTAATACCAAAACATGGTTAGACACTTTCACATTTACTTTTTTGTTGACAATAATTTTCATAAACTACTTATAATTTGGAGTTGTGTTAGGTAAGAAGACAAGTTCTACATTTATTTTGGGCTCTTGCTTCCTGCACCCCATATTTTCACCTTGCACTCCCATATTTAATTTAAACCCCATTTTACCCTTACCCTTGTCTTTTATCTTTCTTTCATTGGTGTGTATTTATTTCTCATTTTGTTCCATTTCAATTGCTGATTTGTAAGTCCTAGTACAACATTTTTTACAAGAAACAAGTAAAAATGTCCAACTTTTTTTAGTTTGTATCAAATTTTTACATGTCCAATAATCATGCAACCATTTTTTTTTTTTGAAACATGTTGCAGGGAGTGAGAAAGCTGAACATTTTCTTATTTTATTCCTAAAAGTATTTTTCGGAATGCATTGCATTTCTGAAAAATCAATTCCAAAAATGTATTTCAGAACGCACTTTCCAAAATATATTTTCAGAATTGATTTCTTGGAAAGTGTTTTTAGAATATATTTTCGGAATTAATTTTCTAGAAATACATTTCAAATGACTCACCAATCTAGAATGTGTTTCCGAATTAAGTGTTGTGGAATTCAATCTCATTCTCGCAATAATGTTCCAAATTGAGTTATTTGGATTTGTTTGTATAATTTGAGTATAGAACATGTAATTCATATGTAATATTAATGATTACTTACTTTTACTTGTTAGAAAAGGTTTTTAATGAGGTGATAGCGTAAAGAAATCAAAGGATGGACATGTAGAAATTGTAAAGAAATAGAAGAAGGTAGGGTAAAAACAAAATTAGGAGAAATGTATTTTGGGTAATTGACTTGGGAGATAAGGGTGTAATGTGTAAGGTGAAAGTATTGTTAAAATTAATTTAATTAAATTAATTCTATTATGTGACTCATGTGAAATATAACGATGAGATAAAATGTGATTTAATAAAATATAATGACCTATTGATTAATATAAGAAGTCAAAATAAAATAAAAATAAAATAAAATAGAAACTTACTGTAATCAACTTGATGGACGTTAGTTAATAAAATGGATTAGGGTTTTGTCCTAAGTCATAAAGTTCTTTTCACAGTAAATCATCAGAAATGTTAGAGAAAAGAAAGAAAGATAAAAAGATAAGTTGAGAAAAGGAGGTTAAAGAACAAAGATATTAAAGAACACATTTTCATTAGATATCTCTCATGATACAAGGTTAGTCTCCTTATTGTAGTTTATGTTCTTATGTGAGAATCAAGAATCTAAAGATCTCGTAAAATAAGTTTATTTTGATGTAACATGGTGACAGTGAATATCATTTCAAATTTAATTTAATGTAAATTTACTTGAGTTTAATATCTAGTATAAATTTTGTTTTCTTCAAATATATTGAATGGAATGGTTGCATATTATAGTATGAAAAAGAATTTCACTAAAAAATCAAACTCGCTTTATACCAATCTGGGAAAAATAATGAAAGAAATTATTATTTTTAAGAACTTCCATTAGTCTTTTTTTAGGTGCATATGTATAAATAAATTTCTTTAATTGGAAAACAATATTGACGTTGGTTTGAAACATCTTTTGTAAGCAATCTTTAACATTTTTAAATTAATTACATATGAATAATTTTTTTTTAGTTTTAATCCCATTTTTCCTCCAATGTTTTTTTACTTACTTTATAAAGTTACCTTACACTTTTATGGACTTGCATTTGTTGACAATATTTATAAATGGTAGTTATAATAATTCAGTCAAAATTATATTATAAGTTTAAAGATTTTAATGGTATAATTTTTTGAATAACTACTTTTTCTTCTTTCCTTACTTTTTAATTTTATGATTGCATTTTGATACTTTTTTGTTTATGTTTTCTTTTACATTTCTTTAGATAAGTTTTAATCAAACTTTTCTCTTTTTTTACTTATACATTTAAATGGAGCACATGGTAAGAAAATAATTTATTTTTTCTTTTTGATCGTCAAAATTTTGTCGAGTAATATTTATTTATTGACAAATTTTTGTTATTATCGACTAATTTTAAGCTGTGGATAATTTTAATATTTCTGATCATTACGTCTTTTTTTTTACAATGAGTAACTCTTTTTAATTCTATATCTTATATGTTCGTATGTTTAAAATTATTTTTTTAACAAAAAGGTTGCAACGGGGTGTTATTTCCCATCACCAAAAGTTAAATCTCTCCCAAAATAAAAAAGTAATGTCTCTTCATGAAGACATTTTTAATCCTGAAAAGATGATATATCAAATATTTTTAACTTCTCTTAAATATTTTATTGATATATAATTTTCAAAATTTATCAATATAAACTTGAATCCAATAAATAAATAAAACATTGAATATGACTTGAGTGTATAATTTGCTATTATTTTAAAGGACATTTTTTTTATAAAAAGGTAAAAAAGCTTTTTAAATATAAATTAAGTAAATTTACTTTTTTTTCTACTCATATTATCTTAATTTTTTTAGTTAGCATATTTTTAGGTTAGATAATTTTAATTTTAAGTTCAACACTTACCTTCTTATAATTATTATAACAGTATAAACATATTATATTATCATTCTATAATTATTACACGTTATATTTTTATTAATTTTTCTTCATCTCTAATCATATTATTATTTAGATGGTTTATAGTATATATTTTAAAATATTCGTATGATATTTTTTTAAGAAGATTAGTAATCAAAAAATAAATAATATGGTTACAAAGTTAAAACTTCAGCTTATTGAAATCTTGAACCATCCATATTTAAAATTTTAAAATTATTTTAATTTTTTAAAATTGAAAAATATAATTTTAATCTTTAAATAATAAATTGAAGAATTAAAAAAAATTAAAACTATTTTTTATTTTTTAAATTTTGTGTTTAAGAATTAAAATTAGATTAAATTTAAAAGGAGAAAATAAGTTTTTCTTATAATTTTAAGGACTAAAAATATAATTAAACATAAAATTTATAATATTTTATTATAATTATCTAAATAACATGTAAAAAGATGTTTTTTTAACTGTTTTTAGTACTGTTGAAGAGACAAAATATTGAAATTATGTTTAAACCTTAATTAAATTAGTCGTGCCACATTAAAAAATAATGAAAAAAGTCACCTGTAAACTCCTTTACCTGCAAAACGAATTACAAACCTTGAAACCAATAATGACGCCCAAGCGCCTCCTTAACCCTTCTCTTTCCCTGCCTTCATCTTCCATCTCATTTTATCCCTTCCATTCTGCTTCAATCTCCCACACTCCTCACCCACTATCCGACGTCGTTTCCCTCTCTCACAGCGCCACCTACCACCCCAATTCACCTCCCTCCCAATCAGCTTGCTACTCCCTCATCTACAACCTCCTCAAGGCACGACGCTACGGCGTTGTCGTGTCGGTATACCGAAAGATGGTCTCCACGAGCATTTCTCCCAATTTCATTTCAATCGGGGCGTTAATGGAAAGTTTCGTCAACACCCATTACCCAAGTTCCGCTTTTGGGGTCCTTAGCCTAATTATAAAACACGGTTTTCTGTTTGAAGTCTATCATTTCAACCTTGTGTTGAAGAGTTTTTGCCAGAGTGGTCAATGCGACAAGGCAATGGATTTGTTTTCTCAGATGAAGAAAAATAACGATTGTGTGGTTCCTGATAGTTTTACCTATAATACCCTTATAAGTGGATTGTGTAAAGCTAAGAGATTCGTAGAAGCTAGGGCTTTGTTTGAGGCGATGAAGGTTGGGGAGAACAAACCCGATTTGGTGACATATAGTGTTTTGATTGATTATCTTTGTAAGAATGGTGAAGTTTGTGAGGGGTTGGTTTTGTTGGAGGAGATGGAGAGAGAGGGGTTGAAAGCTGGTGTGTTTCTGTATAGTTCTCTAATTAGTGTCTTTTGTGCCAAGGGTGATGTTGAGAGGGGGAAGGAACTGTTTGATGAGATGTCGAGGAAGAAGGTTAGTCCCAACGTGGTTACATATAACTGTTTGATGCAAGGTCTTAGCAAGATTGGTCGGTGGAAAGAGGCGTCTGATATGTTGAAGGACATGATGGCGCGAGGAGTTCGGCCGAATGTTGTTATTTACACAGTTTTGGCTGACGGGCTTTGCAAGAATGGTAGGGCGGAGGATGCAATTAAGGTGTTGGATTTGATGGAGCAGAAGGGGGAGGAGCCAAATGCTTTTACTTACAATGTTGTTGTCAATGGGTTTTGTAAGGAGGATCGGGTGGACGATGCGTATAGGATTGTGGAAATGATGGCGAAGAAGGGGAAGAAGCCTGACGTGGTTACGTATAGTACGTTGATGAAAGGGCTGTGTGGATCTGGCAAAGTTGATGAGGCGATGGATCTTTGGAAGCTGTTGGTGAGCGACAGGTTCCATATGAAGCCTAATGTCTTCACGTATAGTTGTTTAATTCAGGGACTTGGCAAGGAAGGACGTCTTCATGATGCTATAAGGGTCCATTCCACTATGGTTGAAATGGGGTGCCTAGGTAACATAGTAACTTATAATTTTTTGATTGAGGGTTATCTAAGTGCCCGGGAACTTATTAAGGCTTTGGAACTCTGGAAATGTGCACTAGACTCTGGAATTTCTCCCAATTCAATAACATACAGAGTTTTGATGATTGGTTTGTGCAAGATGCAGATGCTGAGTCTTGCAAGAGGACTTTTTATTAAAATGAAAAATTCTGGGCTTAGACCAACAGTAGTTGATTACAATGCACTAATGGCATCCTTGTGCAGGGAAAATCGTTTAGAGCAGGCTAGGAGTCTATTTCAAGAAATGAGAAATGTGAATCATGATGTTAATGTTGTCTCCTTTAATATAATAATTGATGGAACTCTCAAAGCCGGATATCTTAAACATGCCAAGGAATTGCTGTTGGAGATGCTTAACATGGATTTGGTCCCTTCTGCTGTAACCTTTTCTATATTAATAAAAAGGTTCTCAAAACTTGGACTGTTGGATGAGGCCATGTCCCTCTATGAGAAAATGGTCTCGTGTGGACATGTACCGAATGTTGTGGTATTTGATCCTTTGCTAACTGGCTATGGTTTAAAGGGAGAGACAGAAAAAATCATTTCCTTGCTTCATGAAATGGCGGATAAGGATGTTGTTCTGAACTCTAAAAGAACAAACACCATCTTAGCTTGCCTTTGTCTCATGCCAAGTTATCTTGATGTAGAGAAGGTTCTTCCAAAATTTTCACAACATAGTGAACATACATCAAGCGGAACAACAGTCAGATGCCGGGAGTTCCTGATGAATCTGAATATCGATCATCCCGAACTAAAATTATTTGTTGCACAATAGCGTTTGTTTTCAGCAGCATGATATCATGGTACTCAAGTAAGTTCTTTAGTTGTCTATCATTAAATTAGTTACCTTGCATTCTTTATCTAATATATATATATATATATATATATATATATATATATATATATATATATATATATATATATATATATATATATATATATATATATATCTAAGATTTTGTTGTAAAAACTACAAGATTATTTGGCTTCATTTCTGAGTGAAGAATGTGTGCCATTGACTACATTGATGTTTGAAGGGTTCATACTTCTGTCATTTTGTGAGATGTTTTTACCTCATGTCTATAATCAAGTGTTATTCAAAATTTTTGTATGACAGATTTAGATGCTTGAGCTCAGTGAACTCCCGGAAAACTCAGCAATCATACCAAACAAGTTATTTCGTGTAAGATCTATGTTAAATAAACCTCTCAAATTCTTTAAAGTTTGAGGGATGTTTCCCTCAAAAGAATTTCCATCCAAATACAGGTTTTCCAAGGTAATAAATCTACCACACGTAGATGGTATGACTCCGTAAAAGTTGTTCTCATATGGCACCAACTCTCTAATTATGTGGCTTTATCACTTCGGCTCAAAGAGTCTTTGAGAGAGCATTATGAGATACATCCAATTTTATTTTAGTAAAGAAACGCCAATAACTTCTTCTGATATGGTGCCACTAGTTTTGTTTTTATAAAGGCTGAGTACCAATAAATTTTGGCAGTTTCCATGACTAGAAGGGATGCTTCCCTCAAAGTTGTTTTCCTTCAGAAAGAGTTTTATTAATACAGACAAATTTCCCCTGGAGCATGGGATTCTATCTGAAAAGTTGTTGACATTCAGATACAATTCTGTCAGATTTTGAAGCTGGTAAAAACATTTGACCAGATAATAAATGATAAACTTTATGTCATGGCGTTGAGTTGTGGAAATTTGACATCCACCTAAACACTTTGAATGCTTCAAAGAAAAACCAACAGCGGAGACCTTCCCCAAAACTTCATCAAAGAATATTATTATTTGATATTCATTTTTAACATCCTATCTGCAATACGTGTAGAAGTCAAAGTCTTCCATGTCCAGTGTGAGGGTAGGCACCTAAGTGCATGCTCTTCTGCATATGTTCTTTCCGATTGCAATTCTCACAAAAGAATTTTAACTTCGACAAAATATTTGATCACTGAGTTCTTAAACGTGCCAAGATAGCTATCTTCTATCTAATATTTGTCAGCCATAATTTTTCTCATCCTTTGTGATGATTTTAGTTACCAGGATTCCTTACACCTTTCTGCAAGCAAAGGAGCACTAGAAATGTTGGAAGCTCGGACTCACAGAAATGGAGAGGGCATAAAGGCAACTCTTCTTCTAACACTTACCCATTACGTTCCATGCAAGAAGAGAATGAAGGAGTTGGTAAAGAAAATCATGTAGTGCCAGTTGCTCCAATTAATGCAACTGAAGAAGAAAAAAATGTTTGGTTTAAAGGGAAGCTTCACGAGTTCAAGATTCTCAATTCAGATAAATTGATTAGGCAATTCCATGCTCGGGTTCTGGGATTTTTCAGCCATGAATGTGAGTCTCCATTTTTCATGACGTGGGAGTGCCATGCAGGCTCATATGAAGCAAGAGAATTGTTGTCTATAGAGAGTCTTTTCAAGGTGCATCCCAAGGCATGTTTGGTGATTCTGTCAAGGACTTTGGACTCCGTTCATGGTTATAGATCCTGAAGCCACTTCTTGATGGGAGGTTCAGAATTTAGGCAGTGACCCCAGACTTCCCAATTCTGTCCAAAGGGACTCCAGCTGAAGCGTGGTTGAATGAGTTGAGTAAAGGAAAGAAGAGCCCTGGTGAGATTTCTCTGTTTCAGAACTTATCTGACTTGATCAGACTTGCAGATCTGTACAAAAATGGTGGTGTGTACCTAGACACATCTTTTGTAGTCTTGAAACCTTCAGCTGGGTTGAGGAATTCTATTGCAGCACAAAGCATGGCCTCTAGGAATAAGCATTGGACTAGACTAAACAATGCAGTCCTGAGATTTGACATGAATCATCCACTTCTTCTTAGATTCAGTAATGAACTTGTTTTAGCTTTTAATGGGAACAAATGGGGGCATAATGGTCCTTACATGCAGTGACAGATTTTGTAACTTCGATGTATATCTACGATTTTGGTCCTTCAAACGTAATGATTATTTAATATTTTTGTTTGTATATTTATAATTTTATCATCTCATTTTTTTTTATGTTTATTTATTATTTAATGATAATATATTACTTTGTTTCTGTTGAAAGTCCCACATCGCCTACTTCATGTCATTTGGTATGGTTTAAATACATGTTAGGTTACTCCACATATTGCCAATTGGTTTTATGTTGGGACCTTAACATGGTATCAGAGTCAAAGCTTAACATCTTTCTGGTAATTTTCATGGGCCAAAAGTTACCTTTTGGTAGGGTCAAAAGTACCCTTTGCCTGGTCCGGCATGTCATTTGGTATGGTTTGAATACATGTTAGGTTACTCCAGATATTATCAATTGATTGTATGTTGGAACCTTAACTGTTTTCCAAAATTAATAGGCAAGGTCAGACTTCAACTTTATTAGCTTGACTCCTTCGGCCTTTTATCCAGCAGATTGGAAAAAGATTGGTGGTCATTTAGGAAGCCCAAAACTAGGTGAATCAAAATGGGTTTTAGTAATGAGACTTATGGGGTGCATCAATGGAACAGAGAAAGTAGGAAACTAAAGATTGAAGAAGGAAAAGTCATAGCTAGACTTCTATCTGATCATTGTCATTTGCAAGTATCTGGACTCTGATTAGTGTTTTGTGTCGCCGGCCAAGCTATGAGTTTCTCTCCACAACGTGCTTTATTACTCTTCTCATTGAACACTTGATGTAAATCACGTAGCTCAGCAAGTTTTGAAGGAAAACTATTTGAAGACAAGAGTTTATCCACATGACCATTCCAAATTTCCAATGATGCTCAAAATTCAACGACAATTGGATGCTCTATCTGATTAGTCTACCCCAAATTCTAACTTTAAGCCTTCTAAATCTCAAAGGGAATCTAAATCTTCCACATCTCCACAAACCAAATCCTGGCAACCTCCTAAAAGACTTTTTCCTTGTCAATTTTCGCTTGCTACTCTTGAGATTTCTATTCTGGGAACCAAAATCTCCATCCACATAACAACCCTTTGAGGCTAACTCACTTTCTCTATCAGTTCCAACAAAACGGGTGGGTCCAACCTCCTTGATCAAGGCCCAAGGATCCTGGAAATCATGCTCAGAATCACTTTCCCACAGAGATATTGGCTTGGTTATTGGTGAGCCACTGTAGAAGTCAAAATGGGTTGCCAAACTTGTGTGCTCCATGTCAAATAATCTCCTCATGGATGTGCTTCCTCCTTTCATCAACTTCAACAAACTGCTTGATTTATGGGGTGAGGAAAAGGAAGATGAGGATGCAGCTGAAGATGAAAAAGAAGATGATGTTGTTGACCTATACAGAGATTTTTGATACTGTATAATCTTCCTGATCTTTTCCTTTTTTTCTTCTGTGTTGATAAACCAGTGTGTATCTTCATCTAGCTCCTCTGTAATTTCAGATAACATGTTGTCTATAAGGATACCAATGGTATGTGTGACGTATATATATTTCCAAGATACAGTTCTTTTGATTTTATAAAATGGATAAATCATTAGAAATGAATTATGAAGCCGGCTAAACTTGACATTTTGTGCGCAGAAGAAGGACATACTATAAAACAACATTGAACATAAACTTTTATTTGAGACTATTAAGTTGCTAGAAAGGATGATGTATGTTTGAAGGGAGGGAGAGCACATCTTCCCAAATGCTTCCAAACATTATATAAGATAATTTAGGCTCCCTCAATATATTATCCAAGTCCATCCACAACGTAGTGTAACCATAAATTGGTTTATTTAAAGAGGACAAATGGCATAAAAGTTTTTAGTTGCTATTTATGTGCCAAACATATGCTGGCTACATAATCTTCCAAAAGCCTAAAAATACAAATAAGAGGAAGAGTTTACTCGGTTTCCCAATTCAAGGCTAACTTCAACTTAGCAGAGTTCATTAGCTCACAAGGTAAAGTAGCTCCAACCTCTAGAAATTTGTAAATAATTTTCCTACAAATATTACAGTTGGATTATATGCATATTTGGACATTTTTATTAAAATTATATTTAACAATATGAAATTGAACTTTTTATAACTCAAACTAACTGACGTATAAGTTAAAAAACAATAACTTTTTACAACCTTTACACTTATATATGGGTTTGGAAAATTTTTACATTTTCACTTCTGTGTTTATACAAAATATATATTCATGATGATTTTTAATTTTTTTTCTTTTAATTTTTACATTTTGATTTTACATAAATTCTTTTGTAAATTATTTTTTAAAAGAAGAGTTTTTTTTTCATAAAATAATTATAACTTTTGTTTTTTTATATGTTTATTTATAGTATTATTTTAAAATGAATAAGTTTATGCTTTTTTAAGAAGCAGATATTATCTGCTTATTGAAAAAATGATATATTTTTTTAAAATTGCTTATATCTTAAATACTTATACATGTGGTATTTTTGTCATAAGAATTTATATAAAAAGTAAAATAGATAATATATGTATTAACAAAGTTAAAACTTATATTTATTAATTTTCATAATACTTATCTCAGAAACTATTTTATTTTATTCTGTTTTAACCGTACTTTTAATTAATTGATCGTGCTACATTAAAAAAAAATATTGAGATAAAGTCATAAACCACCCCAACTCCCATTCAACTTGACTTGCAAATCCTTTTTAATATTTCCGAAACCCAAAACAAACTACAAAGCCCTTAAACCCGACAATGATGCCCAAACGCCTCCTTAACCCTCCTCTTCCCTTGCCTTCATCTTCCACCTCCTTTAATCCCTTCCCTTCTGCTTCAATCTCCCACACTCCTCACCCACTATCCGACGTCGTTTCCCTCTCTCACAGCGCCACCTACCACCCCAATTCACCTCCCTCCCAATCAGCATGCAACTCCTCATCTACAATCTACTCAAGGCACGACGATACGGCGTTGTCGTGTCGATATACCGAAAGATGGTCTCCACGAGCATTTCTCCCAGTTTCAGTTCACTCGGGGCGTTAATGGAAAGTTTAATTTCATAACAAGTTTCTCCAATTAAGAGAATGAAAATTTGTAAGTTTGATCCAACGAAAAATTTGAACACTAAAAAAAGGATCCCCTCCATAAGAATTAGAAACAGAAGTGGGAAAGGACCATAGTTTTGGATGGCACAGCATGAAGTGGGAAAAGGCCCTTGTTTTGAACAAGTTTTGGGAACCCAGAGCTGCAACCCTTGTGGCCATTGGGGGTTAAGGAAAACTTGGGTGTGTTGGAAGCATTTGGAGCATACATAGGAACATGAGTTCCTAGAATGGCCTTGGAGCAAGAGCTGTTAATGGCCATGGCTTCTTCCTTTGTAGTAACTGGGTTTTGTTGCAAATTAGTGTGTTATTGAGAGTGGAAGTGGGGTTCATTTTATGCTGTTGTTAGAAGAGTTTGTGCACTACTTCAACCCTTGGATGCTAAAAATAAAATGCAAGTCGAATTAGACATGGTCATTTTGCTCTTTGTTCCGTGAGATTCTCAACAAACTCATCATTGGTTTGTCTCAGTGAGTGGCTACACTCAACTCTCTCACTTCTCCTCTGTATCATGGTGAATGGTTTTATGCTGTCCTTTATTTAAGGCATCATCCAAACCTTCGTTTTATCAACATTTTATATTTCTATTACAATTTCTATTACTCATATCCAATAATTATTATGGTGACATATTCATGCAAGTTTCATCAAACACCTAATTTAATATACATAAAATTTATTTGAACAAATTTCTTTATTGAAGACTTAGAAAAGACAAAAAATGACTTTCTCTATAAAAATTAAAATTTATTTACCTAAACGTTAATATTTATTTATTCAAGTGACCAAAGTGTTTGAATTCGCTTAATTTAAGTCTTATTAGTAACACACAAAAAAGGGTTATAATTGCTTCATGAGGTACCGAAATTATATATTCTTTTTAGGGTTCAAATATGTTCTTTGGGTTCCTAGGTATCACGCATGCCCCAATGTAATTATCTGAAATCCAAATTATATGAATTAGGTCTGTATATATTACATTTACGTGATTTTAGTTCGTCAAATATATAATAATTTATAAATTAAGTTTACATCATTAAATTCTAAATAATGGAGGGCTAAAATTGCATCATTTTGATATCAAAAGAATTCAACAAACACAACTAAAATATGATAAATTAGAATGATAATTACCTCACAACCTAATTAATACAATTAAAACAAAATTCACATAATTGCATTACTTAAACATGATATTGTGTGGTTAGCTACAATTATTTGTTGTTGAATGTGTGATTAGAAACATAGATGACATTATTTGATTCAGTTAAACATAAAATATTTGTATGATATTTTATTATAAGAAAAAAATTATAATGGGTATCCCTTTGCGTAGCTAACCTATATTAACCATCCCTTAATGATCACAAACCAAAATTACCTTGAAAGTGTACTTTCTAATATTTTTTCACATTCAGAGCAGTTCTCAATGAGAGATTCTTATGGTATAGTAACATAAGGGACAATCAATTTCTGCAACTTGTAACTAACCACTTTATCGATAATCAGAAACTATAAATTACTTACAATCTTTTTCTTCTAATCAATTCAATTATTGTTTGAATCTCGATATGATAGAAGGGGATATAAATGTATCTCAGACATAACATTGAGTCTCCCTCTAGTTTTATAGTCCCACACCGAGCACAAAATAATTAATGAAATCTTTATAATTTTCTTGACAACGTCTTCTGCTCCCCGAGCTTGGTAACGCTAGCTTGTGACTCTAATGAGTGCTTTACTGTGATGGGATATTTTTGTCGCTTGCTGGGTGGGCTTTGACTGCAAAAAATTGATCTGCCCACTCCAAGTTGAGAGTTGACCCACGGGATTCAGACGAAGGCATGGATCTCTTGGGTCCTAGAAAAGAGGGCATTGTGTGAGGCTGGATTCACAGAGCAGCGAATACCTCTCTCTCAACAGTGGAGGGATAACAGGCAGCTGTTATCATTGCCCGTTATGCCTGATGAGCCTAGATGCATAGACCATCACTTCTTTTTTTTACACAAATATTTCAACCTGAAACACGTTTTGATTTTGACATTATCTTTACTGCTCTTTAATTGATATGTGGCTTGTTCTGTGAATGTGGTTAATACTACACCATATTGTAAGTATTCAGTGTGAATATAAATGTTTTGTATTTCAAGTCAATTATCATTTATAAAATGTTAAACTGACCTTGTTGATACGGGAATATTGAATAGTTAGATGTTACATATAAATAGATATACATAAAATCTTGTAGTTTTACATATAGTTAAATATTTTCCTCTTCTAAAATTTTGTTCATATAGCACTATGCTTTATTTGTATAAATGTACTTGATAGTATGTAGTTTGTTGATGACCACAGTGATTCGCATTCGTTCACTAGGGGGATTTGCAGCAAAAGACATTCCAATTTGCATCAGATACACAAAGCAATCCTTCATCAAACTTGCAGCCGTGACTTCAATCTCATAGTTCCTCCTTATAGCTTTCTCTTCACTTTGAAATTCTTTATTTTCGCCATCCAATTCTTGTTCAGAGACTAATGAAGGATCAACTATATCCATGACATTGTGAGGTAGATCCATTGCTACAAACTGCTAAATTCCCATGCCACCTTCAAATGCTTCATCTGTTAGTCTTTTTCCGGTGAAAATCTCCAGTAATAGAATCCCATAGCTATATATATCTCCAATTGTAGAAGGCTTCCCACCCATACCATACTCTGCATGTCAATTATTAGTGGGTCATTTTTTACAAATATAATACATTTTAGCACTTTGAATTTTGAATAATAACATACCTGGAGGGATGAAGCCAATAGAACCCCTTAGGTTAGCTGACATAACTTGTTGTGTGAATAACTTGCCTGATTCTTCAAACAAAAATATAGCTAATCCAAAGTCACCAACATGGGCAACCATATCATTGTCAAGAAGCACATTGCTTGGCTTTATGTCACTGAACAATTGGAGTTTCACAGAAGTGGTGGAGATATTTCAGTGCACAAGCAACATCAATAGCTATGTTCAGTCTTTGAATGAATCTCAATGTCTTTTTCTGAAATTGCAAATTACTCACAGGATGCAACCAATCTTCTAGACTTAATTGGAACCTTCTCAAGATCATAAATGCCATCTCAGGAATTGATAATCACGACAATGACTTCAAAGCTCTAATGTTTGAGTACATGTCTAATGGCCTTATACTTCTCCGAACTTGGCATTCATCGATGAAGCTCTTAAATGCTCCTCTCTGTTGACGATTTAATACTTTAACTGCAACACTTGATTGATCACCTGAGAGAGTTCCTTTGTATACAAAACCAAAACCGCCAGTGCACTTGCTAATTTCTGAATAAGAAATTTTCATTTCCAAATCCTTTCAGTAGTTGATGTAGTAGTTTTCTTTTTTGATCTTTTAGCTATGAGGAACAATTTAAGAAAACATGATAGAATTAAAAGTAATATAACTGCACACGCTACAAGGATAGCCACCTTAGGAGTAAGATGTTTTCTTGCCAGAGAAGCTTTCCTGACAGTGCATACAGGGAAATTTAGTTCTGGGACACCCCCACATAACTTGTTCTTCCATATAATAAAAGGGAAGTTGCATTTTTGAATATTCCATTCTTTGGTATTTCACTTTCAAAATTATTGTATGAAAGATTTAGAAGCTTGAGCTCAGTGAACTCCCCAAGAAACTCAGGAATCTTACGAGACAAGTATTTCGTGAACGGTCTATATCAAGAAAAGCTCTCAAATTCTGTAAAGTTTGAGGGATGTTTCCCTCAAAAGAATTTCCATCCAAATGCAGCTTTTCCAAGCTAATACATCTGCCAAGAGAAGATGGAATAACTCCAGAAAAGTTGTTCTCAGATAGCACCAACTCTCCAAGGCTATATAGCTTACTCACCTGAGCTGGAAGAGTCCCTGACAAAGTATTATGAGATACATCCAAGTAGATATTGCTAGTAAAGGAAGTCCAATAACTTCTGCTGGTATGGTGTCACTGAGCTTGTTGTTATAAAGGCTAAGTACCAATAAATTTTGGCAGTTTCCAAGACTAGAAGGGATGCTTCCCTTAAAGTTGTTCTCCTTTAGAAAGAGTTTTATTAATATAGACAAATTTCCCAAAGAGGATGTGATTCTACCTTAAAATTTGTTGACATTCAGATACAATACTCTCAGATTTTGCAGCTTACCTAATGAATAAGGAAGACTATCAGTTAGCCGGTTTCCTTCCAATGCTATGAGGGTGAGGTTAGCAAGATTGCCAATTCCAACAGGTATATTTCCATGTATTCCATTGGAACTAAGGGTAAATGTGAGCAATTGCCTTGAGAAATTAGAAATTGATTTAGGCAACACTCACCAAAATTATTTACTCCTAGACGTAAAACTTGTAAAACTGTGCAGTTGACCAAAGAATCAAGAAAGCTAAGATAATTTGTTTTCCCAGTTTCAAGTCTGTTGTACTCAAAGCTAAGTCTAGTTAACCTATTCAAGACCCTTAAGTTCTTTGGCAGTGTTCCAGTAAGACCATTCAAGGAGAAGTCAAGAATCTCTAGTTTTGATGCATTATTCAACAGCGATGCAGGGACAGAACCTATGAGATTGTTGACCACACCAGCAAATACTTTAATGTTAGGAAGAGTGAATCCAACATCAGCTAGTAAGTTTCCATGAAGATGGTTTTGAGTAAAAGTGAAATAGTACAAGGAAGATATGTTATAGTTTGAAGAAGGAACTGTGCCACAAGTCATTCCCATATAGCACAAGATATGTCAAGCTTGATAAACGGTTTACCTCATGTGGTATGTTTCCGATGAAGTTGTTCAAGGCAAAGCTAATGCGAGACAAAGAAGAAAGGTTTCCTATCCAAGTTGGGATTTTTAGCACCTGTAAGATTGTTAGCACCTGTAGCTAGTACTTCTAGTTTTGTGCAGTGACTGAGTTTACTTGGAAGACTCCCACCAAAGTTATTATAGCTGAAGTTTAGATGTTGCAGATAAAGTAAACGACCCACCTCATGAGGAAATTCACCATGGAAGCTATTGTTTAACAAGTTGAGTGTGTTGAGGAATGTGAGGTTGCCTATGAATGGTGTAAGAGTGCCTCCTACTCTCAGTTGCTCAAGGCTAAGGTGCACGACCCTTCCCAACGAATATGTTGCATGTGATTCCTATCCAATTGCAATGATGGATGGATTCATTCCAAGAACTCATAATGTTGAATAGATCTTCTACTATCTTACTCATGAAGTCGAGTAAAGCTTGCAAATCAGTTTCATTTCATGCAAGGGTTGCTGCAATTGTTGATTCCTTCATTAAGATCATACATAGTAAAAGACATCTATTCAGGATTTGTAACAACAGGCTCTTCCAATTTGCTCTTGGATGGTTCATATTTTAAGTGCAAAATTTTGATGCTCATTCTGAAATGATATAGGTTATGTTTTAAGGTAAAAAGAAGTAACTAAGATTGCCAATTTGCAACAATAATAGGTAGGAGATGGTTGATTCCTATTTAATACCAAAACATGGTTAGACACTTTCACATTTACTTTTTTTGTTGACAATAATTTCCATAAACTACTTATAATTTGGAGTTATGTTAGGTAAGAAGACAAGTTATACATTTATTTTGGGCTCTTGCTTCCTGCACCCCATACTTTCACCTTGTACTCCCATATTTAATTTAAACCCCATATTTATCTTTCATCGGTGTGTATTTATTTCTCATTTTGTTCCATTTCAATGGCTGATTTGTAAGTCCTAGTACAACATTTTTTACAAGAAACAAGTAAAAATGTCTAACTTTTTTTAGTTTGTATCAAATTTTTACATGTACAATAATCATGCAATCATTTTTTTTTTTTGGAAACATGTTGTTCGGAGTGAGAAAGCTGAACCTTTTTTTTTTTTTAAATTTCTAAAAGTATTTTTCGGAATGCATTGCATTTCTGAAAAATCAATTCCAAAAATGTATTTCAGAATGCACTTTCCAAAATATATTTTTAGAATTGATTTCTTGGAAAGTGTTTTTGGAATATATTTTTGGAATTAATTTTTGAGAAATATATTTCAAATGACTCACCAATCCAGAATGTGTTTCCGAATTGAGTGTTTTGGAATTCAACCTCATTCTCGCAATACTGTTCCAAATTGAGTTATTTGGATTTGTTTGTAAATATGAATACAGAATATGTAATTCATTGTAATATTAATGATTACTTACCTTTACTTGTTAGAAAAGGTTTTTAATGAGGTGATAGCACAAAGAAATCAAGGGATGGACATGTAGAAATTGTAAAGAAATAAAAGAAGGTAGGGTAAAAAACAAAATTAGGAGAAAGGTATTTTGGGTAATTGACTTGGGATATAAGGGTGTACTGTGTAGGGTGAAAGTATTGTTAGAATTAATTTAATTAAATTAATTCTATTATGTGACTCATGTGAAATATAATGATTAGACAAAATGTGATTTAATAAAATATAATGACCTATTGGTTATTATGAGAAGTCAAAATAAAATAAAATAGAAACTTACTATAACCAACTTGATAGACGTTAATTAATAAAAGGGATTATGGTTTTGTCCTAAGTCATAAAGTTCTTTTAACAGTAAATCATCATAAATGTGTGAGAAGAGAAAAAAAGATAAAAAGATAAATTGAGAAAATGAGGTTAAAGAACAAAGATATTAAAGAATGCATTTTCATTATATATCTCTCATGATACAAGGTTAGTCTCCTTATAATGGTTTATGTTCTTATGTGAGAATCATGAATCTAAAGACTCTATAGAATAATTTTATTTTGATGTAACATGGTAACAATGAATATCATTTCAAATTTAATTTAATGTAAATTTACTTTAGTTTAATATCTAGTATAAATTTTGTTTTCTTCAAATATATTGAATGGAATGGTTGCATATTATAGTATGAAAAAGAATTTCCCTAAAAAATCAAACTGCTTTATACAATTTGAGAAAAATAATGAAAGAAACTATTATTTTAAGAACTCCAATTAGTCTTTTTTTTAAGGTGCACATGTATAAATAAATTTCTTCAATTAGAAAACAATATTGACATTGGTTTGAAACATCTTTTGTAAGCAATCTTTAACATTTTTAAATTAATCACATATGAATAATTTTTTTTTTTAGTTTTAATCCCATTTTTCCTCCAATGTTTTTTTACTTACTTTAAAAAGTTACCTTACACTTTTATGGACTTGCATTTGTTGACAATATTGAAACCAATGAGGGGGAGATTGATGGAAATGTTCCTATATTCCGAAGAGATGATTTTGATGATGATTCAAGTCAATTACATTCAAGTCAACAACATTCAAGATGAATTAAGGACAAATTGAATTTAAGACGTTGGTGACAATGTGAAACATTTCCCTACATGCCCAAGATATGTTTTTGATAAAGATGATGATTCAAGCAAACCCAAGAAGATTCCTGAAGACTAGATAGAGTCTTAGAATACTAGATATGGAGGTACAAGTTGATGAAGTAATATTATGCATAAGCCTCCAAAGCACAAGTGTGATAAAATTCATAACGTGATATTTTTCACTCGTCATAATTAATTATGATGCATCGAAATGGAAAAATGATTTTCTCTCGTCATAATTGATTATACCGGTAACATAATCAATTATGACAATTCAAATTTGAAAAATATATTTGTTTTAAAGAATAAATATTTTTAAATATATCCTAATTTTTATTCACAAAAAATATTAATGTCCAACGACCATTTTCTCGATGTTATTTTTCTATTTAATTATGTTTTGATGAAAAATAAAAAACACACAATTACAGTAATTTGAAAATATAATTTATATTCAATCAATTTTGAGAAAATAATTCCGAGCAAGGCAACAAAGATATTTTACACCTTCCGAGAAAACCCTCTTCTCTATTGCCTTCTGTGCTTTCATTGTTAATCACACTTGTTCTTGGAGATTGACATTCTATAGGCTTATACAATTTGTTGTCTCCATTACCCAGGTGTGACTGTTCTTATTTTTATTACCTTCATCCTTTGTGTATTTGTGGCAAAGGAGGTATTTTTCATCCCTAGTGTGACTCTAGAGAGGTGTTCATCCTTAGTAAGATTCTAAGGAGGTGTTTTCATCCTTTGATTTATTCAAAGGAGGTTTTCATCCCTAGTATGATTCTAGGGAGGTGTTCATCCTTAGTGGGATTCTAAGGAGGTGTTTTTTCATCATTTGATTTGTTCAGAGGAGGTGTTCATTCCTAGTGGGATTCTAGGGAGGTGTTCATCCTTAGTGGGTTTCTAAGGAGATGATTGTTTTTTTAATTAGTTTACTTTTTACTGGTTCTTCTGCTGAGTTGATTAAAATTTGTAAACTGAATTTGAAAGATAGTGAATTAGGAGTTACTCTTGTGTTAAGAGTTGACTGAGAACTGGATGTAGGGTTGGTTATACCCGAACCAGTATAAATCATTGTGTGTTTTTCTCTTTCCCTTATCTCTTTCTCTTTTCCTGATTATATTATCGCTTCTTCTTTATCTGTGTTCAAACAAATTATTGACTCACAAATAAATTTTTAATTTGACATCTATTTTAATTTATGCATCTATTCACCCCCCTCTAGATGTCATTTGTCTAACAAGTGGTATCAGAGCTTAGTTAGATAAGATATTTTTAAACGATCTGTCAAGATGTCTATGCAGAATTAGGTTTACATGGAAGGAGCCTCAATAAACAGACCACCATTATTTGAAGGAGCAGACTATCAGTTTTGGAGGGCGAGAATGCAAATATTTTTACAAACACTAGATTACGGTGTTTGGAATGCTGTACTCAACGGTCCCTACATTCCGATGAGAACAACAGAGTCTGGAGTTGTTCCAAAGACTTTTGATCAATGGATGCCAGATGAAAATAAGCGTGCCCAATATGATGTAAGAGCCCGAAATGCTATTGTTTCTGCCTTAACTCCTAATGAATTTTTCAGGGTCTCACAATACAAGACGACAAAAGAAATATGAGATACTCTTCAAGTGACACATGAAGGAACAAATGAAGTAAAGCGAGCACGTAAGAACACACTCATCCAGGAGTATGAATTGTTTCAAATGCAGTAGAATGAAAGTATCACAGATTTCCAGACACGCTTCACACATATAGTAAATCACTTAAAAGCATTAGGAAAAACTTTTGACAATGAGGAGTTGAACACAAAGATCTTGAAATCCTTAGACAGGAATTGGCAACCAAAGGTCACTGCTATTAAGGAATCAAATGATCTCACAAAAATGAATATTGTTACTCCATTTGGAAAACTGCGAGAACATGAGATGGAGCTACAAAGGTTAAATAATGGTGAACAAAATCAAGCCAAGACGATAGCTCTAAAAGCAGAAAAATCTTCACAAGGCGAAAGCGAAAATGAAGGTAAGTTTTCGGATTCCGATATGTCTCTTTTTGTTAAACAATTTTCCCACTTTATGAAGAACAAGAAAAAGAGACAATAAAGAAAGGAGAAAACAAATAAATATCATTGCTATGAATGTGGAAAACCTGGCCATATCAAACCAGACTGTCTGAAACTTAAGAAAGATGTGAAGAAAAGGAAGAACGGTATCTATAAAAACAAATGCAAAATTTATATTGCTTGGGAGGATAATGATTCTTCCACAACACAAGAGAGTTCTTCCGAAAGCAGTGATGGAGAAAAAGAAGCAAATCTTTGCTTGATGACAAAAAGTGATGATGAAGCCTC